CATTTCATAATTTTCTTTGCTAATTGTCATTTCTTTGTCTCATGCATTTCCTTGTGGTTTCACTGGACTTCCTACTGAAGTCTGTTCTCAAATAGTTCTTTCGTGAGCACTTGTGGATAGTAGAGTATTAGTTTTATTATTGCATAGAATACCTTATTTTGCCCTCATTCTTGGGTGATGCTTTACTTGGGATTAAGTTCTGGGTTGACAGGTCTTTACTCTCAATACTTTGTGCCATTGTTTACTGTCATCAGCTGTTGCTGGAGAGAAGTCAGCTATCATTTTAATCATCATTCCTTCTGACATGATCTACCTTTCTCTTTGGAAGCTTTTAGGATTTCGTTTGTATCGATAGTCTGTAGTGTGGTTGTGTGTGAATCTGTTTTTATCTTTCTCAGTGTGTGTGATGTGCACTTTCAGTTTACCAAAATATTTTTTAGTTGTGGCAAATCACTAGCTAAACTATCTCAGTAAATATTGGTGTTCCACTGTAGTTTTTAATAATGGTGTTTCCATTTTTTTTCTTTAACATAATCCTAAATGTATGTGTTTTTTAAATGCTTTTTTTTTTATCGTACTCTCCATTGATTGATGTCTTCTAGAATGAATCATGTTCCAGTTGTGTATTTCGTTGGTCTTATATGCCTTTTGGGGGGGCTTCCTATGTAGCTCAGCTGGTTAAGAACCTGCCTGCAATGCAGGGGACTCGGTTGGATTCCTGGGTTGGGGAGTTCCCCTGGAGAAGGTGTAGGCCGCCCATTCCCGTGTTCAAGTCTGCCTGCACAAGAATATACAATGGAGAAAAGACATTGGGAAAACTGGTCAACCAGTTGTAAAAGAATGAAACTGAAACACCTTCTAACACCATACACAAAAATAAACTCAAAATGGATTAAACGTAAGACCAAAAACTATAAAACTCCTAGAGGAAAACAGGCAAAACACTCTCTGACATAAACCACAGTAGGATCTTCTATGACCCACCTCCCAGAGTAATGGAAAGGAAAGCAAAAATAAATGAGACTTAATTAAACTTAAAAAGTTTTGCACAACGAAGGAAACTATAAGTATGTTGAAAGGACAGCCTTCGGAATGGGAGAAAATAATAGCAAATGAAGCAACTGACAAAGAATTAATCTCAAAAATATACAAGCAGCTCATGCAGCTCAATTCCAGAAAAATAAATGACCCAATCAAAAAAATGGGCGAAAGAACTAAACAGACATTTCTCCAAAGAAGACATACAGATGGCTAGCAAACACATGAAAAGATGCTCAACATCACTCATTATCAGAGAAATGCAAATCAAAACCACAATGAGGTACCATCTCACGCCGGTCAGAATGGCTACTATCAAAAAGCCTACAAACAGTAAATGCTGGAGAGGGTGTGGGTGGGAATTCCCACCACACTGTTGGTGGAAATGCAAACTAGTACAGCCACTATGGAGAACAGTGTGGAGATTCCTGGAAAAACTGGAAATAGAACTGCCATATGACCCAGCAATCCCACTTCTGGGCATACACACTGAATTGAGAGACACGTGCACCCCAATGTTCATCGCAGCACTGTTTATAACAGCCAGGACATGGAAGCAACCTAGATGCCCGTCGGCAGACGAATGGATAAGGAAGCTGTGGTACATATACACCATGGAATATTACTCAGCTATTACAAAGAATGCATTTGATTCAGTTCTAATGAGGTGGATGAAACTGGAGCCCATTATACAGAGTGAAGTAATCCAGAAAGAAAAATACCAATATAGTATATTAACGCATATACATGGAATTTAGAAAGATGGTAACGATGACCCTATATGCGGGACAGCAAAAGAGACACAGATGTAAGAACAGACTTTTGGACTCTGTGGGAGAAGGCGATGGTGGGATGATTTGAGAGAACAGCATTGGAACATGTATATGACCAAACGTGAAACAGATCGCCAGCCCAGGTTGGATGCATGAGACAGGCTGCTCAAGGCTGGTGCACTGGGATGACCCTGAGGGGTGAAATGTGGAGGGAGGTGGGAGGGGGAATCAGAATGGGGAACCCATGGCTGATTCACGTGAATGTATGGCAAAAACCACTACAGTATTGTAAAGTAATTAGCCTCCAATTAAAATAAATAAATAAACTTTTTTAAAAAAAGAATCTGCCTGCAATGTGGGCGACCTGGATTCAATCCCTGGGTTGGAAAGATCCCCTGGAGGAGGGCATGACAACCCAGTCCAGTATTCTTGCCTGGAGAATTCCCATGGACAGAGGAGCCTGGCGGGCTACAGTCCATGGGGTCGCAAAAAGTCAGACACAATTAAGCATGGCACATTTTTGGTGTGTTTTAGAATTTTTTTTTTTGTGGCATTATTTTAATTAGGAAGGTAAACATTTTCCTTCATTTTGTTTAGTCTATACTTTTCTCTTTATTACAGTTTATAGTTGCTTTCTAACTCCTGGGCCCCCAGTCAAAAGCCAGGTCTACATTAGGGTTTCCAGGTTCTTTGTTCAGGGTGAGTGTTGCAGGCTGAGTCACAGATGGAGTCAGTAACTTTGTCCAGCTCTTAGCTAAGAGGCTGTTCCTTCTCCCTCCCCCTTAACTAGGCCACAGTGTCAGATGAGCTTTAGCCAAGGCCGTGGGTGGTATCTGTGTTTTCTTCCCTTCAGGAGGGGGAGCATCTTCCCGGTGGGCTTTAAGCAGTGAGCAGGGCTGGTGATCCATGGTGGAACCTTGTTAGCCCTTGGTGCCTCATGAGGACACCTCCTGTTCTTGGGTGTCCCTGGGCCCAGAGCTGTCCCTGCTCATTTTGTGTTTCTTCTGGCAGGGTCTCTTGTAACTTACTACTTTCTTTAAACATAAATAATCACATTGTATGCTGTATTTGGAACAGAGGGGCTGAATCAGAACACCAACTTAATGAGTCTTGACTAGACATCCAATATGTTTCTTCATGTTTTGTCATTGTTGTGTCCCTTGACATGTAACTCTTGTTGGTCATATTGCACTTGTGAATTCCATTATTTGTGAATGTTAATATCTAGTAGGACAGACACTAAGTTATTTTTTATTTAACTTTGTCTTGATCAAAATTCTCTGTTTTTTCTTGTGAACTTTAAAATCACCTTTTCTAGTTTTAAAAAGATAGACTCATTTGGAGTCTTATCTTGAACCTCAGTACACATACATATTGATTTTAGAAAGATTGCTATTCCTATGCTGTATGTTATCCAGATACTAAAATACTGATTTATTATCACTTTTAAGATACTGTTTTTAAGCTTTACTTGAGCTCTTTACTCCTATTTTGTATACATGCATGGTAAATCACTTTAGTTGTGTCTGACTCTTTGCGACCCTATGGACTGTAGCCCACCAGGCTCCTTTGTCCATTGGATTCTCCAGACAAGAACACTAGAGTGGGTTGCCATTTCCTTCTCCAGGGAATATTCCCGACCCAGGGATCAAACCCGTGTCTCTTAAGTCTCCTGCATTGGTGGGCAGATTCTTTACCACCAGCATCATCTAGGAAGCCCCCGTCCTTAATGATACCCCTGTTTTATAGTGTTTGTAGTTATTATGATTGGTATCTATAGATTCTACTTCCTTTCTCTAGCTGATTATTACTAGAAAAGAAATTAAAATATTTTTCTTACATTGAGTCATTTTCCCAAAGTGTGTTAATTGCTCAGTTGTGTCTAGCTCTTTGCGACCCCATGGACTGTAGCCTGTCAGGCTCCTCTATCCATGAAATTGTCCAGGCAAGAATACTGGAGTGGGTGTCTATTACCTTCTCCAGGGGACCTTAAATTTTCCCAAAATACCTAGTTAATTCTAAAAATGTATAGTGTATTCCATAGTTTCTGAGGTATATAATCAGAGCAACTACAATTAATATAACTTTATATCTTGTAATATTTTTACTTGTTATCTAGTTCTCTTATTGAACTAAAACCTTTAAAACAATGTTTAACAATTGTAGGCATCTCTATGCCTGATTTTACTGGAAATGAGTTAAGTGTTTCACTGTTGAATACCTTGCTTGTTGTATTAGATTTGGCAAAAAGTGTGTCTTATTTAGGTACTTCCCTTTTATGTTTATTTGAGTTTTTTTAGGAGTGGTAGCTAAATTCATCAAATACCATTTTAAATCTTGATACAATCACAGTTAGCAATTTAATTGTTAACTAATGGATTCAGTTTGCTTTTTTAGTTTTTCTTTTTTGCATCAATACTTGTAAATGAATTTCTTTATACTTTTTATAAAAGTATACTTTTTATACTTTTTTGTACTTTATACTTTAAAGAAATTTCTATTGCATTATATTTTTAACCACTTTTATCAGATATTATTAATATTTTTAAAGTTTTTAAAATGAATTGCATACCTTAATGATAACCTTTTGCTCTAGTATTTCTTTTGTAGAGATAATTTTGTTCTTGTGTTTTATACATTAATAATTAAGGCTTTCATGTTTAAGTCCATATTGTCAATTTGCCTAAATATTTTTGGAAAACCAATACATAGTTACCCTGTAGCACATACTTTTTAGGATATTTAAGTATTGCAGATGCTTTTTCTGAATCGGATATTTTTTTCAAATATGTCTCCATGTCTTTGTTTAGGGGAGGGGGAGGAACTAGATTTTTACTGTGTCCTTTTAAAAGCCACATGCCCCTCTGTACTTTTTGTTAGAATTCTTAATTCCAAATATCTATGTGTAGATAAGTTGGAAAGATTTTTATAATTATAAGAATACATAAGTAATTCTTTGGGTATGTTTATGAATGATAGCTATAGGACTTTACTGTGAGTCTGGGTTTTTTTGTTGCTTAATATTGCCCTTTTTTGCTTTTTCATGAATTCTAAGAATTTTTTTGTAGCTACCCTATGCATTTCATCTTGGGCTTAATTCTGATAATGTTTGAGAGTGTTTGGTAATTTATACATATATATAACTCTAATCACCAGCTTTTCTTTCTTCCTTGTTTTTTTTTTAAACAGTTACATGGGAATTGGTCTTTCTGCTCAAGGTGTGAACATGAATAGACTACCAGGTATACTTGTAATTGAATTACAGTACAGTCTTATGGCTAACTGGCTAAAAATGTCAAGTAGTAACTTGAGATAGTTAACTACATTAGTCTTCTATATTTCTAATCACTTAATGAGTTCAGAGTTGAAGCTAATGGTTTTAATAAACTTGATGCTATTTTCCAAAATATGCCATGCCTTTTTTGCTTTGCTTGTTCTGTTTTGTTTGTTGGTGTTCTGAACATCCAGTACATAGTGATATCAACGACTTTAGCTGTTTTAATGTGGTTGGTTCTGTCCTTCCCAACACATTCCTGACTTGTACCCCATTTTCAGTTGTTTAATACTCTGGGTGGGTATCTAGGCTGATATTAAAAGTAAACTAAGGAGAAAAAAAGCAAAGTAAGGAAGGTGTGAAACACAATGGTAGGCTGTTCTCCTAAAACCATTAATTGTACCAAAGTGATTCTTCGATTATATTTTCTGATGTTCTGTTTACTAATGTTAAAAATTAACTTTAGAGGAAACTGCTTGAAAATTGAAAGAAAAATCTTGCGTGTTATTTTAAACTCTGTGTGTGTTTAAACTAAATCAAAGCAAAATTCCTTTGGTCTATTAGCAAAGGAAGTATGCATGGAGACTGCGTCTTGCTGTTTGTTTGCTTTTTCTGTTAAGAGTCCTCTCTGTTTAAGACATAGTTTAGCATTCTGTGTGGCAGATTTATTTTTGTTAATGTTGTAAGCAGTGTTTTAATACAGAATTTATGTACTGTGATTGTTGAGAATTTAAATGTACTCTTGGGAATTTTACCTTTGTAAAGGTGAAATTTACAGAAATTGTACTATTCTTGCTTGTCTTTTTATAAATTTACTGGATAGTTCTAGTATTGGGGGAACCTTACTTTTCACTGTAAATATACTGAAACTTTCTCTTTTAGGCTGGGATAAACATTCATATGGTTACCATGGTGATGATGGACATTCATTTTGTTCTTCTGGAACGGGACAACCTTATGGACCAACTTTTACAACTGGTGATGTCATTGGCTGTTGTGTTAACCTTATCAACAACACCTGCTTCTACACCAAGAATGGACATAGTTTAGGTACTAAAATAACCAGATGTTATGGTTATTGTACTTATAACATGGTAGTAATGTTTATTATGTAATTCTCCTTTATGAGTAGATGCTTCTGGAAATTATTTCTTTGCTTTTTCTAGGTAGAAGTTGAGAAAATGGTGAAAATTTAAATCTGAAGTATTATGTAATGGGCACATATTCAATTAAAAATCTTAATTTTTTACATTGAAGGCCACATTGTATCACACCTGTGAGACTAATTAGAAGTAATTGCATGCTCAGATATTTATTCTAGTAGTGGAAATGCTACATGTTTTCTGCTTTGCTTTGAATAAAGCCCTTCACATATGATCCAGTTTTCTAGACACCGGGTGCCAAGAAAAAAGCTGTCGGTTTTTAGTATAACATGAGGGTAATGTCAGAGCATGGAAAAGCTTAATGCTCCCAGCGAAATGAAGGGCATTGGCATACTGAAAAATCAGGCCTACTGACAAAATTAACAAAGATTGTAACTACAAGCTAGTTCTGCAAAAGGGAGCAGAGCTAAAATGAGCAAAGGACAACAAAACTTCTAAAAGACAACTGGCAAATAAATAGATTAGTGAAAACATGAGCAAATCGCTCCTTTGTAAGACCAACAGGAAATTAGGGGTTTTGGTTGAATATCTGTACTACTTCAGATTTAATACTGTTACGCTCCCTTTTCTTAGATTTTTTTTTGTCTTTGTTTTGTATTAAAGCAAGTATAAAGGATAGCAAGGTTGATGCTTTAAAAAAAAGTTTCAGATTTTTAACTGTTTAAAACATTCTTGATTTATAGCAGGTTATTTCTGATGAGATAAAGTGAAAGAAGGCATAAACTAATCCCAAAGGCAGAAAATTCAGTTTGCTTATAAACAGTATTTAAAAATTAAACTGCAGATAGTATGCTTAGACATATAATAAATATTCTTTAATGCAGAAACTGTTCTGTAATTTAGTAGTAGAGAATCCTAAATTTTGGGCTGCGTTGGTGATAGTTGTTTGGGCTTTTTTAGTGTCTCCACATACTCCTTAATAATGTCACTGTCTTAGCCATAGTTACATTTGGCTTAAAACTTTCCCTTCTGATTATTACTGTTGATTCTGAAAGTCCTGTGCTGGCTAACTTAAAAGCTCTCACAAGTCCACAGAGATTCTTAACACTCTTTTCAGTACAAGACCGTTGATGAAGGATGCCATGTATAGTGTGTGTATTTGTGATCTGATTGTTATTGGCAGACTGGTTTCCAGAAGGAGACAGCCCTTTTAGTTTATTTGTTGTTGCTCTTCAGGCTCTGTCTGACTTGTCAAAGCAGTTAACTGGGATAGTCTTCATTGGCTTGGCTGCCTAAGGTATTTAAGATCTTAAACCGGAAGTCTGCCTTTAGGTAGGACCTTTGGTTCAGTAATGCAAAGATGACATGTTTAAAACCAAAACGAATCTTTTTATAGTTTGCAAACTTTATTTCAGAGAAGAAATTTTATTTTGGGACTTGAAAAGATCATAGGTGATGTGATATTATTTTTTTTCCTATTAGATTTTCACATGCATTTACACTGAGATTTTCTCTTGTGTGAGGAAGCAGTTTTTAAAATATGATGATGTCGTTCATTCAATCCCGAAGTTGTGTCCGGCTGTTTGTGACCCCATGAACCACAGCACATGAGATGCTGTTTAAGAACAAGGGTACTTGATGGAATCACATTCTAAAATTGTCAGTTTGAAACAGTTGGCATTATTCATTCATAAACCTAATAGGTATTTATCAAGCACATGGAGAGTCAGGATAACAGTGGTCAGTATGGGAGTTCAGTTGTCTGGGTTTATCTCCTGGCTTGGGCTTGTGACCTTATGCGAATTACTCAAACATTTCTATTTCTTAAACATTCAGATCATAAAACCAGATCACTATAACATGTACCTTGTTAAGGTTGCTAGGGCAAACTGAAGTGATGCATGTGAAGTTAAGTGATTGCCATACACTTAGTGAGTACTCAGTAAATGTTGTTTATTGTCATTTGCCAGACTCTGGCCGAGGTGCTGGGGATGTGGTGAGCAAAAATTATTCCTCTGGAGCAGAAATCAGCAAACTGTGATGGCCCATGGGCTAGATCAGTGTCTGCTTTCTAAGTAAAGTTTCATTGAAACAGTCACCACAACCCCCACCTCCTGTTCATTTATTTTCTATATATGGCTGCTGTCCTCATGCAGAATTAAGTAGTTGAAACAAGCCTAGAGAGCTGAAAATATTTACTTTCTGACCCTTTACAGAGTAATGTGTTTCTCTCTTGACCAGATTCTAGCATCTAGAAGATAAAATCTTACTCAGTTCCTCTCCTCTTGTATTTCACAGAGTGGATAATTTCTGCCCCAAAGCTTGGTACATCCTTAGTTTCTGTCTCATGGAGGTTTTCAAAATGTATATTTACTTACCATATAAAGAGAAATGAAAAGAGTTTTGAGAAAATAATTAAAGGAGAAACATTTCAGTATGCAAGTTAATTCATTTGAATTTTTTAATTTTGTTATCATTCTTCAGTTGACAATTACTTTTCTAAAAGTCTCTTGATAATCAGATTAGGAAATTGGGAAAAAATTGTTTTCTGTGTAAAATTTATATTTGTTGAGCTTGTTAAAGTGCCATTTTTGTGGTCTGAATATGTATAGGTTGTGTTTAATATATTTGACAGTGTTCAAAAGTGTTATTCTATAGAATTAAGTTGGATATTTCATTAGAGATTTTGGTAAAGTGAGGAAGGAGCTCAGTAATTACTGACAAAGGGGAATTTTTGCTTAAATGATATAAATTTAGACAGTCTTTATCAATAGACATTTTTGAGGGAAACTGATTAGGCTGCTGTTTTATGAAAGGTGGTAAAATTATATATGGTCGTGTTTTATTTATTCTTGCTATTTTCTTTGTTCTTTTTAGGTTTCTGAAATTTTTAGGATAAATTCTCACATTTGTTTAGCCCACAATCACTTTACTGTTTATTAATTAAACTAAAGGTAATCTGAATGTTTCCAGTTTTGACAAGTTAACATGAGTTTGCTGGTTTTTAAAAGTCATAAAAACAGTTGTAATTACAAAGCACTATTTGTACATTTATTTCAAGGCATGTATAGTCGAGATTTATAGTCCGTTTGCCTTTTAACGTTGTTACTTTAATGAGTAGAGTCAGATGGTTGTATTTTCTGGCGGCACAGCGCCAGTGTAGAGCCACAGACTCGGCTGGGAGGAGACCGTGAAGCAGCAGAAGGGCCCTCGTTTCCCAGGTGGAGATCACCGCTGCAGACGGAGGGCTGCTGGCTTGGTTTGGTTTTGTCCTAATGTATGTTTAAACTGAAGAGTTGCGATCAGCCAACTCACCAGCACCACCCCCCCCCCCCGCCATTATTATAGAGCTCAGTCTTTTTAAACTTATGACTGAGGTCCTATAGAAATTATATCTTATTTTCAGCTAAGTAATTTATTTGAATAGTTAAAGGACGATTATGTCATCACTTTGGGATGTTGCCATTGTTCAAATGTATTTGGTACATAACTGTTGAAATTACTGTCAGAGGGCATTTAAGAGAAATCCTCAACTGTATCTTTGTCCTTTGAAGGAGGAATTAATTTTGTTTTCTAGAGTGATCAAAACTTTGAGAATGTATTTTTATGAGAATTTTTTAAGTAAACAAAGCGATTATATTTTCTATTCACCCCTTTTTATAACAGAAAATCTTTCCTTTTCCCTCAAAATTATTTAAAAGCTAAATCTAGGTAAGGAAGATTTAGATAACAAGGCCAGATAAAGCAGCTTAGGTGTCAGTCGAAATTAAATGTAATTATTTTGCAACCAGTGTTCTTTTGTGGTTCCTCACATAGCTTTGAATATATATCTGAAACCATTTCGGAAATCCTGGAGGCAGCAACCACACCCCAGAAATAAAATTGGTGTGTACCTAACAAGGGTCATGAGTTTGAAACAGGATGGCATTCACTCAGACCTGTATTAGTGTTATAGAGAGAAAAATTAGTCTTGTTATTTTATATTTAGCTTTTTAATTTTTTTCTTCATTTGCTATATTTTCCCTTCATTTTGGTGAGAAATTCAGCTTGTCACCATACTCTGTCTTTGAAAAACAACTTCTAATGCCATTTTCTCTTCCTTTTAGGTATCGCTTTCACCGACTTACCGGTAAGACATAATTTCTTGTAAAAGTAGTTTTGTATTTTTAATTAAAAGAAGCATGTAGAAACTAGTACTGCTCACATTTAAAATGCAGTCTTATTGGTAATTAAGTTTATAAGCCATACTGCACATAGACCAGAGCTTTTTTGAGCTGCCATTGGTGTGGACCATCGGAAATTAAGCCCAAAATTGCACTGGGCACCATTGCCCAGGAGAACTTAGCTGTGGCTAAGAACTAAATCAGAAATGATTATTTAGAAGACACTTTTTAGTATCACTGTGGATTCATTTGAAATATGTTTCTTTTTTATTGTTGGGCTTTTTAGTAAGTGGCTGTCATTTACTAATTCACCATCTATTGATGCCACTCTGTGGCGAGTTCTGTGCTTGCTTTTTATTCAGCAAAACTCTAGATGGAGGTCTCTGTCCTCTCAGAGTATTCAGGTTGAGGAACTTAGAGAATAAATAATGCATTAAAAATAATTCTAAAAATTTAAATAATTTTTAAAGGAAGAAAAACAGTAGCACTTGAGAGTACCAAAGACAGAACCCAGGTGGTAGAATTTGCTCACCATTGTTCAAGGTAGTTGTTGAGCAGAAACTTTGGAGGAAGTGAGGATATGGAGAACAAGAACGTCGCAGGCAGAGGGAGCAGTTAGGGGGCTGGCACTCAGGCAGGAGCGCATGGGGAATGTCTGAACAGCGTGAGGGAGGCAGAGAGACTGAGGCGGTCGGAGCCGAGTCAGACCCGAGGATGGTGGGTGCGTAGATCACCCCGGTCTTGAGGGACATTGTGAGCACCTGGGCATTTACTCTGAATGAAGTACACTGACCTTGCAGAGTGTTAGCTATTACCATACACTGGGATGACGAACAGACGGTAGTTGGGGGGAGTTAAGACAGAAACAAGCCGACTGTGAAGGGCTGTTGCAGAAACTCCTGGAGATGGTGGTGACTCAGCATCTAGAGACATAAGGAGTGGTTTGATTCTAGACACCTTACATCCCAAATCTAAGCCTCTATCAGTTGTAATATGCATCATATATAGCCCTAAAGGGAGTGGGGACTAATAAGCTCTGATACAGTGCTTTCTTATCATTTAGAACTGATATTCACTGATCTCTTCAGATATTTAAACCTATTAATAAATTTTTGATTGGTATCACTTATTGTATGCCTGAAACAGGATGTTAAGAAGCAGCGACCAGTGAGTGAGGCAGGAGGAGGACTAAGAATTGGGTGTCCTTCAGAGCCAGCTGAAGAAGATCTATCCAGAAGGATGGAGAAGTCAGCGTGTCAGATGCCACTGTGATGTATCACATCGCACGGGCTGAGAATTGACCAGCTGGTTTATTGTGCGGTTTAGCAGGGTGTTTGCTTGCTGTTGAGAATGATACAGTAGCAAGAAAAACAGGAGATGTTGTATATCCAGAGGAAAAGTAGCCTGATCCTGCCCTTGAATGGACAGGGGGGTGATTCTGTGGGTGAGTGGAAAGGAGAGGCTTTCAAGAAGTGTCTGGTGGGGGCAGGTACAAGGGCCCGAGTAGCTCAGTGTTGTTGGAGAGGTTTTGCCCAGATTCTCCGTGTCACATGAGTTTGGTGGAAGGGCATATGTAGCTGGTTTGATTTTTTTTTTCTTCCCCCAGTTTTTGTGGCACTAAGCAAGTAAAATCAACTCATCACTTAGCAGATTTTGTTCCTCACTGATAGACAGTGGTGATCATTTGAAAAAGGCGTAGCTAGTTGTAGATATGTTGATTGTTTGGGGTTGCCTTCTGATTATTTTTGGTCCCATTTTAGAATCACCAGTTACATTTTTTGCCTTGTCTGTAATTAGCCAAGGGTGATGTCCATCTGTGCAGCAGTGGGTAAAGTGGTGGTTAGGGTGGTGGTTGTAAGTTTTCTGTTAATAACACAGTGGTTCTGAGAGCTCTTTATTTTTGTAACTGTGAGATCTTCTGGGACTTCCACACACAACATATCATTCTTCTACTTAAAAAGGAAAGAAAAAAAAGAAAAAAAAAGGAAAGAAAAAGTTAGTCTTTCTCTTAGAGTCCCCACCACCTGTGATCCTTCACTAGCCAGTCATAGCAGTCAGCCTCCGTGGAGGGGATGTTTACAGAAAAAAAGCTTACCTGTTATGGAACCAGGGGGTGCTTTACATCTCTGAAAACTAGAAATGTTTTTCAAAATGATCATTCTTCCCCAACTCACCTCACCATCTTTAGATATAGTGATTGTGTTGAGTGTATGCCCTTCTAGATCTGTTTTAAACTTGTGTTAGCCAGTATGTCCATAACTGTTGGCTGGAAGAAGATGGGTCATAGTTAAGGCTCTGTTCTGGTAGCTTGCTTTCTTCATTTAGTAATGTGTAGTGCGCCTTTCCGTGTCATTATACACATTTTTAATGCTTTCTTTATGCTTGTTTTTATAATATTTTATTGTAAGATATACTGCAACGATTTAAAGATGGTTGTTTTTGCGTATTTGACATTTATGAAATGGGGTGCATCCTAGAAATCTATGGCCTGTCACAGTTTAATGGACAGTGTTTCTGCTTAGACATAAAATGATGGTAGATGTTATAGTCAGTGCGGTCTGAGCTTCCCTGGTTGTGGTATATTAATACCACCTGTGAATGGACATTCTTTTTAATTTTTCATTTGCTATTAAAAATAATGCTGCAGGACATATATCTTTGCACATGTTCGTTTTTCTGTAGGATTAATTTCTTACAAGAAAAAGACTAATTACCAGTAAGGAAATTGAATCTGTAATTTCAAAATCAGACAAGAAAAAGAAATAAAAGCAATTCTAATTGGAAAGAAAGAAGTAAAATTGTCTTGTCAGTTTTAATAGATTTTGCCAAATTTCTTTCTTCCAAGGTTATATTGGTTCATATTTCTGTGTACAGTAAATGAGAGGCTTATTTTCTCAGCCTTCATCAACACTGGGTATTCTCAGCTTTTAAAATCTTAATCTGTTGTGCAAAATAATCTGCTTATTTTAATTTGCATTTAAGAAATTCAGTTTGTATCTCTTTATATTTTTAATCATCTTATGTTTTTTCAAATTGCCTTATGTATCTATTACGAATTAAATTTTTTTAACTAGTAATTTTTTGTGTTGTTTTTTTTTTAATTTTTTATTTTGTGTTGGGGTATATAGCCAATTAACAATGACGTGATAGTGTCGGGCGCACAGTGAAAGGGACTCAGCCACACACGTACGTGTATCCATTCTCCCCCCAGACTCCCCTCCAGTCCAGGCTGCCACATAGCATTGAGCAGGTGAACTAGTAGTCTTTGTTTTCCTGTATTCTGAGATTATTTTTTCGCGTTTAGAATATTGACCCTTATATGTGTGGCAGATTTTTTTTTTCTATAAATTTCATTTTTCTTGACATAAGAGTCTTTGGCTTAAAACACTCTTGTTTTAAACTGTGTCGCAGTTTTGTAATGGGCTTTAGTGAAGAAGACACTGTGCCCGGAGTAGAGCCCTGAGTCTCCCTTTCTGTGCGTCATCAACAGACTGGGGCTTTAAACCTCCGTTTCTCATTGGGGAAATGAGGTTATAAGAAGTGTCTCACTTGTCCTCACCTTAAAATTCTGTTGTGAGTTCTGTTGATTGTTAAGGATCAGTATATTTGTGTATGTTGCGTTAACATTTATTTCCCTAACTCAGTGTGATTATATTTCTTCATATGTTACCACAGTACTCCTTCTGTTTCTGATTTTGGTTGCTTGATTGGTCACTTGAGTTTAAAAGTACCTTCTTAGCTTTTTGCAGTGAAATCTATCTAAGCATCTTCTATTTACACACATTCTATTCTCTTAATCTTTACCTGATTTTGTACTGAAAATACCTGTGATAATCATTAAAGCAGAGAAATAGGCATAAATACAGAGGCTGAAGATGAAGTAGGGTTTGGAGTTACATAAAGGAACACTGAACTTAGATTTTGGTGTTAAATAAGCCTGTGTTCCAGTCCCAGCTCTGCCGTAGCGTAGGACAGCTGTGGGCAGTTAATTTACTCGAATCCTCAGTTCCTATATCTTCATAATGCAAATAATAATAATGATGATGACTTAACAGGGTAATTACAATGATTAAACCCCGACATTTAGTATGCATTCAGTAACTTATTCTCCCTTCAGATGTGACAGCTAGTGACAGGACCAGTAGAAGGACTCATGTATTTTTTGTACAAATTTTTGAAGCTGTGGAACTTGTTTCACCCTCAAGTCTTGGAGTATATCTTGGAGGAAATGCTTTTCTTTATGAATTTGAATGTTTAAATCCTTTCTCGAAATGTGTGCATTTTATTTTTATGAAAAGAATCTCTATTCTTAAAGGCACTGTTTCGCTTATAAAGTTCTTATCACCATTCCTTAATAAAAGCATCCCAGATGTACAGAGAATAGAAATTAGTAAACTTAAGATAGTGTCTGCCCAGTTCGGATGTCCTTCTCTGGTAATCAGCTTCCACGTGCGCTTTCTGGAAGTGCATTGCATGTCTCATACGTAAGATGGATAAACATGAATTATGCTTGAATCTCTCTGTTGTATGACATATTCTTTTTTTTTTCAATTTTTTAATTGAAGGATGATTACTTTACAGAATTTTGTGGTTTTCTGTCATACATAAACAAAAGTCGGCCATAGGTAGACCCATGTCCCCTCCCTCCCAGACCCTTGCCCATCTACCTCTCTAGCCCACCTTTCAACCTGTCACAGAGCCCCTGTTTCATTCAGCTCCCTGAGTCTGTATGACATACTCTTAAGAGCAAGAATTTATTGGAAGTATAATGCCATATGGTCTGAATAAATAAGTAGCTTAGGTTGCTGTGTATTTTCCTTGATTATTTGCTTTAGTTCTTCCTCTACTAGTTTCTGATTGAGATCTTAAAATATTTGTGGAGCAAATTTGCAATTCTGTTATTTTAAAGGTAGCATTTGAAAGAATGAATTGCTTTTTTTTTTAAATTAACATAAAAGGGATGGATATTTAGTGAACTGTGTTGTCTTACAGCCAAATTTATATCCTACTGTGGGGCTCCAGACACCAGGAGAAGTCGTCGATGCTAATTTTGGGCAGCACCCTTTCGTGTTCGACATAGAAGATTACATGCGCGAGTGGAGGACGAAGACACAGGCGCAGATAGAGCGCTTTCCTATCGGAGACCGGGAAGGAGAGTGGCAGACCATGATACAGAAGTGAGTGGGGGGTGTGCCGGGCCGGCTTCAGAGTGCCTCTTTCACAAAACATTTCAGCCTTTCGCTGTGAAAGGCTGTTTATTGAATGAAGCTTTCTAATCTATTCACATGTGTCCCAGTGATCTTAGTGTGTTAACAATGCTTGATTTGGTGACACACGTCCCGAGTTGTATTTTAGTCTGATTTATTAATTTGCTGGAGGAAATAAAGTGACACTAGATCGCGTAGGTTAATTCATTTGCTGTCCTCAGTAATGGGATTTAATGGTTTCCGTAAGTTACATGATTCAACTATCAATAGCGCCAGTGCAGAAGATAAATTCAGAAAGATCATTTAGATTGTAGAATTCACATTGTGGTTTTGGGGCATGAACTTGGCTGTGTTGTTCAGCAGTGGTATAAACACTTGGGAGAAAAAATAATTATTGCTCAGTAAGAGTAAACATCAAAATAATGGTGTATTTTACATCCTGGAATACAGACATGATATGCTCATTGCACCTTTCAGGATTTGGCTAAATTTTTCCAGTGAATAGGTAACTATGTAAGAATAATACCAGCTTATTTACTTGGATCCCTTTTTTTGGTCTGACAAAAAATTTCCAGCCTCAAGAATTTTCAGATCTCCATTTACTTATTGTATATTCTGTTAGACATTTAAGAGGAGGTAAAGGGAATACAGATCAAGAGACAGTGAGTGTAGAGTTAAGATTCCTCAGTGCAGTTTAAATGCCTAGGAGTCAGTAGTAACAGCGGAGGACAGGCAGCAGAAGAGCAAATAGTGGGCGTTAGTAAAAGTACTGTAAATGAATGACCTTTGTCTCAACTCACTCTTTACCCCCAGTTTACAATTTGTTTTATTAGGCAGCTTTTTATGAAAAAGTAGAATTTCAGTATGGGAGTCGGCAGGAAAATACAACCCCTGTGACAGTCACCTTTTTTTAGACTACGCCTTTGCTTGAAAGGTTCGAGACGACATGTGAATGTCAGTCGTACTGAATAGCAGTAGCTCTTAAAACCCCAAGTAGCGCACACTTCAAAATAAATACTGTTAAGTTTAAGCAGTCGTTTTCACTATCATAATCCAGCCCAAGAAAATTCAAGACGCCCTCAGTCTGACACACTTCATCTTAGATGTCTGTGTGACTGCTTTGAACAGTCTTAAGTTTACAAATCTCCTAAAACTTGGCATGTTTTTGGGAGGAGATAATTTTGGGCAGGATGCTGATTCCGAGAACGAGCTTCTTCCCGGAGTCTCGACACCGTGTTTCTGCCCTGCACGCTTGGAAGAGTAGTGGCCCTGACTCGGCATCCCCTGGTCAGCGCGAGGCAGAGCGAGCGGGCCTGGACTGCCCCGGGGTCCCCTCCCTCAAGGCTCCGCGGCGGTCCCCGCTGAAGGAAGCGCTCCCCATCCTAGTCCTGCAGCCAGCCTTCAGGGAGAGCACCCTCCCTGCCCCATTCTTCACGAAATAGATCCTCGCTGGGGGAAGTTCTGTGAAAACGCTCTCCCCTACCCTCTTAAATTAACCTAACATTTAGATGAAATAAAATGAAAAAAATCTGTCAGAAATTTCCCCGTGCCAGCTCGGTCCCCTCCCTGAACCAATGCTTCACACCATTTTCGGTTGGGCCCTTAGTAGTGCCAGATCGAGGCAGGTTCAAGAGTTGAATATTTACAGATATATTGGATATTTCAGTCAATACTGTTAGGTCAACAGTTTTTCTAACATTTCGTCATTAGATCCAAGTACCATACTTAAAAATACCACTTGGTTTTTAAAAAATCAGTTTGCTCTTTGGAAGTGTCACTTACTCATCAATCATATTTGAGTAATTCATCTCCTGTGCACGAACATACTACCTGATTTAGATTAGAAGGCTGACTCCTCACTGATTAATATTATCACCCTCATAGACTTGTTTCGGGAGATTCTGTCTGTGGGGTCACCTTCGTATTTTTTGTGTTCACACTTTGTGACCCGTTTTATGTAATTGGTGGACAGGACTGCAAAGAGTTAAACTACAGAACACGAAGAGTTAATCTATTGTTTTTAAATTTCTTTATTTTACAAAATGCCAGCCCTTTACTAGGGTAAGTCATATGATAATGGTAAAATAGAAATTATGGTTAGTACAATTGAGTAAGGGTGGGAAATAATAGGAAAGGACCTGGGGATAATGGAGTGCTAAGAATCAGAGTTATTTCATGTCCTTTGATTGTCTGGTAATACTTTTTTAGGCAGAGTAGACTCACCATAGCATCTGCAGTTATCTTTTTGGAAAGAACTCTGTGAATAAGACAAAATGATGTTTTGAATTGATCTTGAACCTGAGATAATTAAAGCCTTCATTGTTCCCAGGGCATAGATTGGTTTTGTAACACCAGAGTAGACATTGTGTATGTAAACTGTAGTATGAAGCATGTATTCTCTTGACTAAAAGCTGTGTGTTTCTTCTTTTTATTTTAAGAATGGTTTCATCTTATTTAGTCCACCATGGGTACTGTGCCACAGCAGAGGCCTTTGCCAGATCTACAGACCAGACCGTTCTAGAAGAATTAGCTTCCATTAAAAATAGACAAAGTAAGGACCTGTGGTGCATGCCTAACACATGTTTTCAGATTATAGGTTTGGTTACATTGACTTTTAGAAACTTGATTTTTTTAATGTTTTTTTTCAAATTTATTAATTTGAAATTATACCTCTGAAATTGACTTTTACTGACATTTTTGAAGATTACCTTAAAAAAAATTCACAGGACTATAGTAGTATTCTGGATGTAGAAAGATAGAATTTTGGAGAAATTTTTGTTAAAATGCTTGCCACTTTTGCTTTAAAAATGTTTTCTTGAGCTTTCAGAAAGTAAACATTTAATAAGAAGTGTGTGTGTGCTTTTCAACAGGTAAAGTAGTCCCATGATTGTTAGATGTTAGTAGAGATAATGTGTGAGATGTTTGCACTTAAATTGCTATCTAAATTTAAGATAGTGTGGGCCTTAAGTATTTATTGCTTTTGTCCCAATGCTAGTGGCAAAAGCTGTGGGGCCTGTTCCGATCAGCATGACAACTGATCCACAGTCAGCCATCCTAGAATTGGTGCCGTTAGTCCATCAGGGAGGGTGTGGCTTGATGAGGGTGTTGAGACAAAAACAAGACATGAGGGATGAAATCATGAGGGATGAAATCATGAGGGATGCAAGCAAAACTCACGTAGGTCGGATTGCTATAACACACTGATGACATTGTGTTGTAGCTGATTACATGCTCCTCTTTCTCACCACTTGTATAGGCTGTAGCAAACGGGAGATGTCCGCTCAATCTTTTCCTTATCATCTAACCCTCAGGGCATGCTCATTCAGTGGCTGTTGAATTCAGATCTTACTCAGAGGCTAATTTTCATTTAGTACTGGGTTCAAAAGGCTATATAGTATTTGATAAGACATTTTGATTATTATTTCTTTAATGTCTCCTATGGTCCTTTCTGTAAAAACCACTTTATTGAGGTATGGTTGACATATGAAAAACGATGCCTATTTAGGGTATACAGCCTGATGAGTTTGTATATATCCATGAAACCGTCACCACAGTGTATGACATAATATACCCATCTTTTTCATCTTAGTGTTTAATATATCAGTATTGTTTAACAGCTATTTTTCCTGCGTTACTTATATGTTTGATTTTTTTTTTTAGTAGTTTATTACAGTACTTGTTTTTCTAATTGGTTATTTTGTCTGAAAATATTCCTTAAAATAGAAACTGAGTTAGAAAAATAAGTGCAGACTCATCATAATTTAAAGATTTTTCTACTAATTTTTTGAGGATCTACTAAGTTTCTTTTTCTGTTCTTATAAAATTTATCTTTTGCTTTCTTTTTCTAAATAGGAATTCAGAAATTGGTGTTAGCAGGAAGAATGGGAGAAGCCATTGAAACAACACAACAGTTATATCCAAGTTTACTTGAAAGAAATCCCAATCTCCTCTTCACATTAAAGTGAGTTTTTAATGAATGTTGTATTAATTATATATGTGCATTACATAACCAAAAGTATTTTCCTGCTTTAATAGTTTTAATTTTTGTTTTACCTTGTTTCAGGTATTTAGATATAATTTTGTAATATAGCACATTTAAGTAACAGGTTGAAGACTATGAGGACTCTTAAGTAGGAGGCATTTTTCTACTTTGTGTTTGCTCTTCTGTCATTCTATCCCTGTATTTTAAAAAAGTGAAACTCTTACAGGATGGGTATATATTTTTTCTCTTGTAAAATACCTTATAGTAAGTTTGCAGCATTTTTAAAAATTGCGGTAAAAATATATGTGAAAGTCGCTCAGTCATGTCCGACTCTTTGCAACCCCATGGACTGTATAGTCCTGAATTCTCCAGGCCAGAATACTGGAGTGGGTAGCCTTTCCCTTCTCCAGGGGATCTTCCCAACTCAGGTATCGAACCCAGATCTCCCGCATTGCAGGCGGATTCTTTACCAGCTGAGCCACAAGGGAAGCCCAAGAATACTGGAGTGGGGAGCCTGTCCCTTCTCCAGCAGATCTTCCCGACCCAGGAATAAAAACAGGGTCTCCTGCATTGTGGGTGGATCCTTTACCAGCTGAGCTAACAGGGAAACCTGGTAAAAATAACACATATCATAAAATTTGCCTTTTTTATATGTACAGTTTTCTGATACTCACCTTGTTTCTGGTACACTCACATTGTGTTTCAGCCATACCAGCCATCCGTTTCTAGAACCTTTTTCATGATCTCAGTCTGAAACTTGGTACCTGTTAAACACTGACTCTGCATTTCCCTCTCTTCCCTCGGCTCCTGGCAACCACCATTCTACTCTCTGTCTCCGTACACTTGAACTTGAGTACTCTGAGTGCTTCATGTAAATGGAATCATAAAATGTTTGTCCTTTGTCACTTCCCTTGGCATAATGGGTATACACATCTGTGTTGGAGTTCCTGCTTTCATTCTTTTGCATATATGCTCAGAAGGAGGATTGTTGAATATAGGATAATTCTGTGTTTGATTTTTTGAAAGTCAGTCCTCACAATTCCATAGCCCTGTACAATTTTACATTCCTGCCAACAGTGACAAGATTCTAGTTTTTCATCCTCACTTACACTTACTGCTTTATGTTTCTTTCATTGTTTTAAAATAAATAATAGCTATTTGGCTTTTTTTGTTGTTGGTTGTATGAAGCTTTGTTATCTTAAAATTCAGCTGTGATTAAGTTTAAGATTTAAGCTTTTTAAGCATCAGAAACACTAAACCAGATGACAGAACTACTTTGCTTTAGAATAAAAGTTTAAATGTGGCCCATTTGATTAAGAGGTTGCAGATGGGACTGGGGTGAGGAAGTGTGGGGAGTAGGCCCTTATTTTGTGTGAAGGTAGGTGTGTACATAAAAGTACATCAGGTACTTCTTAGGTACTATTTGATTTGCGTCCAAGTGCAAATATTATTTTGATTATTTTAGGTAAAAAAAAAAATGAGGTCTATTTTGATTTACTATAGCTACATACAGATTTTCAGTTTCTTAGTAAATCTTGATTAAAGGTGATACAATGTCTTTTGCATTATACTCTCATTTTTCAGGAAATTTTTAAATATTCTAAGCAGTACAGTATATGGAACCATATTTAACATTTTTAGTATATTATCTAAAGGCCAGACTTACTGATAAATGCAAATTATTAAAGTATTTCCTTGTAGAAGTCTCTTGCTATTAGGTAACTAAACAGTAATCTGAAGATGATGTAAATAAATTTTTGTTTTCTCTTTTTAGAGTGCGTCAGTTTATAGAAATGGTGAATGGTACAGATAGTGAAGTACGATGTTTGGGAGGCCGAAGTCCAAAGTCTCAAGACAGTTATCCTGTTAGTCCTCGACCTTTTAGTAGTCCAAGTATGAGCCCCAGCCACGGAATGAATATCCACAATTTAGCATCGGGGAAAGGAAGTACTGCACATTTTTCTGGTGAGATTCAGTCTGACGACATTATCTTACAGTTTTTACCCTTCTTCATGGTTTTGAAGAAAAATAACTTTTTTAAAAAAGATGTAGACATTTCTGCTAGCCATTTTGCGTGTTTGTAATTTGAGCTCAAGAGATTCTGGAAGAAGAATTGTGGACAGGTCAGATTCGTGTATTTTTGGTACCAGAAAGTAAGTTCAAGATGAGCTGTCTCTAAGAGTGGGTTACTAACAGATCTGCATACATGAAGGGCACCATTCGCGTTTTGCCTCTAGAAGTCACATCAGAGATGCCTGGTAATGAGAAGGCAGTATGTTTTAGTGAGTGTACATGTGAAGGCAGTGACGTGGCCGTGGCGTCTGAAGCCACCGGCTCCCAGCCGGGCTGCCTCTCCCTCCTCCTTTCCCAGCCCGGCTGCTGGCAGGAGTCAGGTCTGCCTGTCCGTTTCCTCCTGGGCTCACTGAGGCTCTTGGTGAGTCTTAACTGAGGTCGTCTCCTTTCTTGGCTTTTATGACGTCACTTCTACAGGTTTATCTCAGGGCCTTCTCAGTCTTTTTGCTCTGCTGGTCTCTCTCTGTCTCTCCCACGGTCTTACCTTTCCTCTGTTCGCTTAACTTTCTCAAACCCAGCTCGAGGGCTGTTCCCTGTGCTCGCGCAGAGCAGAGCGGCACCGTTGCTGCGTCTTCCTCAGCAGAGCGCCTTCCCCTCGCGGCCGCTCCGCGTGCGGCGGCCAGGCTCGTGCCCGTAGCCGGCGCCTCCCGGACACTTGCGTGTCCTGTCAGCCTGGGACAGATCCTTGGCCTCCGTGTGTTCTTAGGAAAACGGGGTTCTGGTAGCACTGGGCCTCATGGCAGGGATAAATGAGATGCATAATTAAGCCTTCAGTAAATACAGGAGGAGATTACAGCTCACAACTAGGTATCCTGATGTTCTTTAGAAGAAGTTATCCACTTGTTTTCTATTTAAGTGGTCCACTGACTTTCCCACATTGTAAAAGGTTTAAGTACATCATCAGAACATGGTAGACCTGTTGCAGCCTGATTTGTTTCTGTTTTTAGAGAGTGTCTTCTTTTTCCCCAGGCTTTGAGAGCTGTAGTAACGGTGTGATATCTAACAAAGCACATCAGGCGTACTGCCACAGTAAGCACCCGCCGTCCGGCCTGAACGTGCCGGAGCTGAACAGCATAAACACGTCCCGGTCACAGCAGCTCAGCAGCTTCTCCAGGTAATTCGGCCCCTAGCGCTGGCATCGCTGTGAGCAGCCCCTGTTACACGGAGGCATCGTCTGAAGTAATTTGGGAAAATGGAGTTAGATGGCCACCGTGGGGGTCTGAGAGAATGAAAGGGCGAGGAGTCAGTTCCCCGTGCTCCTCGTGTTCATCCCAGAGGCTCCCTTCCTCTTCCTCTGCACCCCTCTCCCTCTGGAAGGGTGACGGGGGCAGATCAAGGCTCTCTATTGCCTTCCTGCCACCGCAGACCCCTACGGTGGTCACAGAAATGTCATTTGTTAATGTTTCCAAGTTAAGTCACTGTAGTGTATTTAAGCTCTGGAGTTGACATGTGATACATATACAACTACTTTTCCTCTGTGTGTGGGTTTTTCAGTGTGAGGAGTGTTTCCTGAGTTGCAAATAACTAACTTTACAAAAATATTTGTTGGTGAGACCCTACCTTTAATTTGAGTGGCTTGCGTGTAGCAGATAGTTAAGTCGTGTGTAAACATCCAGCATAAGGAGAGGACTGGAGACTCACTGGGCGTCAGACACTCCGCTGCTCAGCGAGCTCTCCACACGAAGAGCTTTGAGAGAAGAGGTGTTCCTGTCATGGGACTCTGACATACTCAAGTTTCTAGTCATGAAACCTAAAGGTTTGTGAAATATAACCATTTGAATTAAATGCTAGTGTGTGAGGGCAAGTTCTTACAGATTTTTATCAATTTGATTGATGTTGGTTTGGTCTTAGAACATGAATTGATGGGTCACACTGCATTTTGAGGGGAATATGCCTCAGTGCAAAATTCTCCTATTGAAGGAGACAGCACCTAATGTTTACAGGGACTCTCAATGGAAATATGATTCTGGAGAAGTGCATGTAAAAAATCTGCATTTACAAATTTGGAGATTAATCAGAATTTCCAGGTTGTCTATTACAAATGACAAATATGTCCTGAAATAATGGTATTCTGTGGTCCAGTTGTGAAACCCACAGAAACGATCCAAGAACAGCAGTAGGAAAGGCACCGTCTTGCTGAGGAGGTCAGGGTAGGCAGAGAGATGACGCACTCAAGGATGAAATCCCAATATCGTAGTGAAAACGTCTTATGGAGGTGTGAACAGTTAAGCCTCTAGTGCATCACCATACTTTATAGTATTTATTGATAGTACTTTATGATTGTTAGACGCTTCTACTGTAGTCTGAGGGTAGGCTTGCAGTTACTTTGTTGAGTTTTTCACTTAAATACTGTGTCATGGCAGGAAGTTGCTAAAGAGACCTGTAATTAGCTGAGTTGAGGGAAGCAAGCTGAACGGAAGGGGCTGATGACAACAGCATGCTCTTTTGTGTGCAGCACAGAAGAAAGTAAGCTCTTAAACTGTCCCGCAGTGACAGTTACTTTCTAGTCTGTACATGGCTTTCCTTGCGACAGTGTTGTGAAGTAGGCAAAGATGGTATTAACCAACTATGAAAACCATTTTACAGATGTAGAGCTGAGTACCAGAGAAGTAAATGGCTTTTTTTTAAAGGTGAATAATTAGTTAACTAGTAAGTTGCAGAACAACGACTACTTCCCAGGATGTCTGACCTCTAGACTCGCGCTTTCTCCATTGGACTCCCCATGAGAAATGCCCTTCTCCCCACCCGCCTTATCCTCCATCCCAGCTTTTATTCAAGCTGTAAAATTCCACTTCAGTTGTTACCTCTTCCAGGATGATTTCTTATCAATTCTCAAATTTCATGAAGACACTAAACAAGCTTTTCTAACTGGTGGAGATGTGCTGGGGCCACACCCTGTTCTTCTAGATCTCTGAGCTTGATGGTCTTACGGACAGAAGTGTGTATGTACCCACTCGCCCAGGCTGGAAACCAGTGGTTACCTTTGCTGGCATTATGCATAAAGTGCTTTTTGCCTCTCTGCGTTCGATGTCGTTGTTGTTGTTTTTCCTATCAATGAATATACATTGTTTTTTTTTTAATGAGAAATGATCGTTTTTATTTATTTAAATATTTTCTAAATTTTCATCAAGTGTTTCCTTCTGGACTGTATAATCATTCCCTAGATCTTCATAGGAGAAATTTGGAAGGTTAGATATTGTTGTTTGAGGTGTGGATGGAATGAAGGGCAAACGTTGGCCACCTCAGCATGGCCTCTTAGAGCTGCTGGCACATGTTATTCATCCAGTCAGTGTGAAATGGGCGAGTTGGAAATGCCTTAGGTATCTCCAAAACAGCATTTCAAAAATTAAGACTCTGCAGTATATTTAGAATCTTTAGCCAACAAGAAACTCTGTCAGAGAAAAGCAGTGTTGGGTTTTGAAAAGGGCTGAGGGGATGAGACTGAGTAGTCATTTTTCATGTCATCACTTACCTTTGAGAAAGAGCATAATTTTGAGTAGTAAGGACAAATGCCGAAAAGCTAAGACTTAGAGAAAGAGAAGCCTAGAAGCGAGCTGAGTATGAGGGCAGGGAAAGAGGTGAAATGAGCTGGGTCCCAGGAGTAGTTTGTTTATCAGGGAGGTTTTTCCCTTACATGCTTGGGGCAGGGGGTTGGTATTTTAGGGCAGGAGTTGATTAAATGAAATGCAGATCTAAGTTTGAAAGATAGTGGGAAATATGTGCTAAGAAATGATTTCTCCATAGTGATAGGAAGTCTTAAAGCCACGACATTTTAGTACATGTATCTTTTTCCTTCTTTATCTCCAGGACTATAAATTCATTAAAAGTTTAGCTACATCTTTGGCTTTGAATACATTCAAGATTTAACTAAATACCTTTTTTCCAGATTGCTATTGCCTTATGAAGTCAGTTTTATAAGTAGGCTCTGTAGTTGAGTACTAATTGATATTAAACTAAGCTGCAAGTGTGCTATTTCTAAAATTAGGTTTGTTTTTTCATTTTCAGTAATGATGTAGACATGGAAACAGATCACTACTCCAATGGAGTTGGAGAAACTTCATCCAATGGTTTCCTAAATGGTAGCTCTAAACATGACCACGAAATGGAAGATTGTGACACCGAAATGGGTCTGCAGTGATATTTCTTACATTTTTAATAAAAAATGATGACTACAAGGTTATGTTTTTACTTGTACTGATTCACAGCTGATGAACATAAATCAGATTTAAAGATGTGTGTGCCATTGGATTTGATAGTAACATATTCTCTTAGAAGTCTCTGAGAGTGGATTGCTAGAGAGAGTAGAGTTTAATTTTAGTATCTTCTGGAGTTTTCTTTGCTGAACTGCTTCTGCACAACTGTAGTGCCTTCAGTAGCGCAGCAGTGCTACCTTGTTAGTGTTCACTGCCCTTTAAAAGGGTTGGTGAGGTTGGAGATGAAAAAGTTTGTGCACCTATTTCAGTATAGCCAATATAGATAGGCCACATGGGTAGAGATGATTTTATAAATTCTAATCAAATTTTCTTTAATTCATTTAATCTGAATATATGCGACTATTCATAGTTCAGTGCCTGGCAGGTAGTAGGTGCCTGTTTGACACCCTCCCTTGGTTCCTTCCCCCTCAAATTATGTGGCTGAAAAATATATTAGCATGCATAATTTTAGTTTGTGGACAACTTGTGTGGTAAATTGTACACAATCAGCAAACTTTCCCATCAATTGGAGAGTGAAAATGACTGAAGCTTATGAATTTTTATTTGATTTTATAGTATTTTGATACTAAAAGGAATTTATTAACATTGCTAGAAACTGTTTTATAAATGCAAACTTAATATTACTTACACAACCACCTTCTTGTTAAGGACATGTGTTCCTATGTATAATTCACTCTTTCAAGCAAGGAGTATGACTGAAAGGCAGCCTGGTTTTACCCTATCAAATATTAGCATGCACCCTCAATATTCTAAGAATAATTTGTGCCTAGGGATAAAGAGCAGGAGTTCTAGAGCCGGATCACCTGGATTTGAATTCTGCAACTGCCACTTACTAGCTGTGTAACCTTGGGTGAATTACTTAGGAGCTCTTTGCCTCAGTTTCTTCATCTGTAAAATGGGTGTAACGATAACTGCCTGTAAGTGCTTTATAAACATTAACTGTTACTGTCATGGTTAGTGATTTATATATTGTTAAATACTGATGTATACTTTTTGCATTGTTGATCAGTGATTATTGTCAGTCAAGATACGTAAACTGTAAAGTATTTTCCTAAAAGTAATTAACCCTTTTGATTAGGTACGGTATCGTCTGTGTTTTTATTGGAGTCATTTAGACCATCGTACCTTCTAACTGTTCTGTGTCAGTTAAAGTAGCCTGGGAAGTAGTTACTTTTTCCTTTCTTTTTTTTTTTTGCAATATTGCTATATTTTTAGAAAACTGTGCTTTATTTTTCATACCATTTTCCTTGAGACATGTACATCGTAACACTGAAAGCTTGTCACCTGACTTTCAACTCCAAGCTAGATAGATATTGGATCCTAGACTCATGAGCCCTAGAGAAAGCCACAAGATTCCATATTGTAATAAATTAAAAAGAAACCACGTATTTAGGTAAAATATTAGGAAGTAGTTACTAAATGAAACGTCCAAAATGTTGTAAGCAATTTATGTTTGTTTATCCATTGTATCCCAAATGTAAGGTAGTAAAATACCTGTTTGTTTTGCTTACAGAAGTTGATTCAAGTCAGTTAAGACGCCAGTTGTGTGGAGGAAGTCAAGCTGCCATAGAAAGAATGATTCACTTTGGAAGAGAGCTGCAAGCGATGAGTGAACAGCTGAGGAGAGAATGTGGCAAGAACACAGCAAATAAAAAAATGTTGAAGGTAAATTTGTTTTCTCTTGAAAAATTATAAATGTGTGGATGAACCTGGGACATCATTTTATAAAACACTGAGCGATCCTGGGGTTACTGTTGGGAGACTTGGATGCGAACTCCTCCCAGGCTTCCTGCCCAGTCGCGGGTGAACACATGCAACGGGCGGGGGGGGGGGGGGGCGGCGGCCAGGCTCTGCTGGAGAAAGCGCTGGATTTCAGTGAAACACAAAGGTCAGACCCCAGTTCTGCACTTCCCAGTGTTGTGTACCTTTGTCAGCTTGCTCTCTTAGTTTTATTTTCTCAGCTGTAAAATTGGCCAAGTTATTAGGAGAAATGTGCGCATGCTGATGAAACTATAAATGTGAGATATTTTGATTTCAGTAAACGTTGCTCAGGGTTGCGGCAGACCGAACGTATGATACGTGGCCTTTATTTTGATGGTGGTTGGCGAAGGGTTGGGTCATCTTTCACAGAAGAGTGGAAACACATCCTCGGGTCTCTTCTGGATTGATGCCTCTGCTGGGCAGTGAGGACGGGGAAGTTAGTTAGCCACGGCTCTGCGTAGCAGCTGAAGATGGAGTTTTGCCTCCCGTCAGTCAGCGTTGCAGTCAGCTGTAGAGATGAGATTTTTTGGTATTCACAGAGGCCCCTGCAGACCTGGGAAACCGGAACGTGCCCATCGTGCTGGCGTTTTGTCTTGTGTGCCCTGCGTTAGGCTGGGCTCAAGTCAGTTTGTTAGAACATTTCTTCTCAGGGTTTTGAAATAAGTCCAAACGCTGAAGGAGAAATGGCCATAGTGGCCTTGACCCTGAGCCCCGGGTCCTGAAGGAGAGGGCGGCTAAGGACTCCTGCCGGCCCTCCCTGACATGGGCTGAGAGGGCCCGGGAGCGACGCCGACCAGCACTACGTATGTGCGAAGTCGGGGGGAATAACCATCCCAACGACCTGCACCAACAGCTTTAGTACAGCACCTGTGTAGGCAGAATGGACCTGTCTAGGAAGGGTGAAGAAACCACTTTTACACTTCCAGATAAAAAGGCATGCATAACTTGATTTTTCCAGATTGCAAATTTTCATCATTCTATTAGGTTGGTGCAAAAGTAATTGCGCTTTTTCATTGTTGAACTTTGCCGTTTGATATTGGAATACATTCTTAAATAGATATGATTGTGTTATATACCTCATTTTAATGCGCGTTTCTTTGAGGTTTTTTTGTTAATGACTGACTTTAGACTATAGAAATGATGTTAGACAAACATAAAATTCGAGTGATTTTTTTTCTTTGAGTTCAAAATGGGTCGTAAAGCAGTGGAGACAACTTGCAACACCAACAACCGCATTTGACCCAGGAACTGCTAATGAACGTACAGTGCAGTGGTGGTTCAAGAAGTCTTGCAAAGAAGATGAGGAATGCAGCGGCCAGCCACTGGAAGTTGACAACAGCCAGTTGAGAGCCATCACTGAAGCTGCTCCTCTTAAACTGCATGAGAAGTTGCCAAAGAACTCAGCGTCGATCATTCTGTGTTCGTTTGGCATATGGAGCAGATTGGAAAGGTGAAAAAGCTTGAAAAGCAGATGCCTCTTGAACTGACCGATAATCAAAAAAATTGTCATTTTGAACTGTCGTCTTCTCTTATTGTACTAAACAACAGCGAACCATTTCTCGATCGAATTGTGACATGTGACAAATAGTGGATTTTATATAGACAGCTGGTGACACCCAGTTCAGTGCTTGGACCAAGAAGAAGCCCCAAAGCACTTCCCAAAGCCAGACTTGCACCAAATAAAGGTCCTGGTCACTGTTTGGTGGTCTGCTGCCCATCTGATCCACTGCAGCTTTCTCAGTCCTGGTGAAACTGTTCTGAGAAGTATGCTCAGCAAATCGATGAGATGCACCCAAAACTGCCACGCCTACAGCTGATATTGGTCAACAGAATGGGCCCAATTCTCTGTGACAACGCCCAACCACACGTTGCACAACTTACACTTCAAAAGTTGAACAAGTTTGGCTACAAAGTTTTGCCTCATCTGCCATATTCACCTGACCTCTTGCCAACCAACTACCACATCAAGCACCTCAACAACTTTTTGCAGGGAAAATGCTTCCACAACCAGCAGGAGGCAGAAAATGCTTTCCAAGAGTTTGTCGAATTCCAAAGCATGGATTTTTATGCTACAGGAATAAATAGGCTTAATTCTTGTTGGCAAAAATGTGTTGATGGTAATGGTTCCTATTTTGATTAATAAAGATGTGTTTGAGCCTCGTTATAATGATTTAAAATTTCACCATCTGAACCAGCAGTTACTTTTGTATCAACCTAATATACAGCTTTGAATCTTTTCAGCTATCAACAGTGCTAAGAAACTTACTTCTCAGGCTTTATCATTACTTCATATATCCAAAGCGATCCATCCGGGAAACTTCCTTACTAGGTACTGGGTTGTTTTAGGGCAGTGGTTCTCATCCTTTTTGGTATCTAAACCCTTTAAAACCGATTATAGGTTCCCAAAGGGCTTTTGTTTGTATGAGTTATATTTATTGATTTTTCTCTACTAGAAATTAATACTAAAATTATTAATTCACTTTAAAATAATAAATCATTACATGGGTATTTTTCAAAAAAGTGTAGTGTTACTTAATCTTTCTAAAATAAAACAATGAGAAGAGAGTGGCATTGCTTTACATTTTTGTAAATCTCTTTAATGCCAGGTTTAATAAAAGGTAAGCTGGATTCTCATCCTTACTTCTGCATTCAGTCTTTTATGAATTCACACATCATGTCACCTCTGGAAAGCCCCACTGGGAGAATTGTGAGGGAATAGGAGTGAGAAAAGAGCAAGTATTATCTTAGTTTAGTATCATGAAAATAGTTTGAACCTCACAAGAGCCCATGAAAGGTCCTGTGGTCCCTGGAGAGAACTGATGTTTTAGGAGATACTTTGGAGATAGGGAATGTTTTTTTAAAAAGAACTTGTAGACATTTTTACACTAGATCATCTGTTTTCTTGTTAAAACTTTATGCTAATTGAGTATCATTTTATGTAGTCCCTTTGAAAATTTAACATTTCACTCCATGGCTTATTCTTTGATGGTAATCTGTGTGAGGCACAGAAAAGGGCATTATGTGGCCTGTTCTCAGAGATACTCCTTGATTATATGCTGAATGAAATGAACAGGTAATTTATCATCTAAGGAGCGCGGATGGCTTTGATTTGGCACCTCTGACTTCCGTGCAGATGCTGGCTGCTGTCTTGGCGTTCTGAGCTGCTTCTCAGCCTTCCCAGGCGTAATCTCCTCCCAGGCAGACATAGACCGAGTGACTGACCCAGTGGCGTCTCAGCGCCGAGGGGACAGTGCTGGAGGGGGACACAGCACTTGTGTTTGCCTTGGTTAAGGATTAGAAATTAGCGCTTTTTTCTTTTATTCTTCACTTCAGGTCATGGGGAGCTGAAGTGGGGTTTTTTATCTTTAATTTTTTTGAATTTGCACAGACTTCTGAAGCATATATACTTGTGCAGAGAGACGGACTTAGTGAAAGCTGAGGTGAGGTTTGCCGTCAGGCCCCTGTGCCCGCTTGGCCTTTTACTCATTTTCTCCGTCTTCCTTTCCCGGTTTCCTGTTGTCTTTGTTTTCCTTGCTTACCTGCCTGAGTCTGCCAGTGGCTCCCAAGAGAGCTCCCTAAATTGTTCAACAGCTGTTGATTGAACTTTGCAGAGCGGGGGTCAAGCCGGAGGGCTGGGTGGGTCAGGCTGGAATACGCAGCCCAAGTCTGCACATAGCTCTTAATCTAGTAACTGAAGCAGAAATTGAATCATTTGGACACATCCTACTGAGAAACTGCTACTGATTTTAAGCCAAATATAAGTACAGTTTGAGAATGCTACCTAAATGTTGTATTTCCCTCAGAAATTATTTCCACTGAGGTAATTTTTTTTCTAAAATAAAAAGTAACCCATAATGCCATGATATCTTACAGGTGTTTTCTGCCTTAAATGCATGGGCATATATTAATATTTTATCTGATTGGTAATTGTAATTATCCTATTTTGTATTGTTCTTTACTGTCATAAAAATGTATTTCTAGTTCCCAGGTGGTGCTTGTGGTAAAGGACTGGCCTGCCAGTGCAGAAGACATGGGTTCAATCCTTGGGTCAGGAAGATGCCCTGGAGGAGGCCATGGCAACCCACTCCAATACCCTTGCCTGGAGAGTCCCAGGGACAGAGGGGCCTGGTGGGCTACAGTCCATGGGGCCCCAGAGAGTCAGGACACGACTGAGTGACTAGAAACTCCTGTTGCTATCCTGGGAAAAATTGAAGTTTTCTAGGGTGTTTTCAGATCTACGCTCATACCCATGGCTCCCAGCATCCAGGGCTTTTCTTTTCTCTCAGCCCGTTTCTGTGGCGCTTTTTGCGACACAGTCCACTCTGTTAGTGAGCAGGACACGGAGCATCACTCTTCACACGTCTGCCTTCCTTCCCGAACTGTGAGTCCTTGGAACAGTGACGAGGTCCTGGTGATCCCCGTCTTCGTCCAATAAACACTCGTTCAACCGTACTGAAAATACGGGGCCAAAATCTTAGACTTTTTTGCTTGTAATATTTAGATTGGTAATTAAAAGAAACTGTTTTTACTAAAAGAAGTACAGGAAGTACTAGGTGTGGTGGTAACCTCTCACAGCCTCAGTTTGCTTCTAAGATGGGCGTAAACATCTGCCTCCTAAGGTTATTGTGAGGATTAAATGAGATGGTACACATTAGCCCTTGAGACAGTGCCTTGCACAATGTTAGCGCACAATAAGTTACTACCATCACGATCTTTTCTGTTAATGTTTTAAATACCAGGAGGTGTAGACAGAGTGGCCTTGATGGGAGATTTGGAACTGCAGCATCCCACCTTTCGGGGAGCAAGTCAGGATATAGATTCAGGAGCATGGTCTTGTGCTTAAAGTTTTATGTAGCGATTATTCCTTGGACAGATTCTTCAGTTTTTTAAAGTTTATCTGCACTACAGGACTGCAAAGACTTAGACACAACTGAGCAACTGAACTGAGCTGAACTGCACTATGGGGATGGTACTTCATGAGATGGATGTGGGTGGGGTGAATGAAGTCTTGAGCAAAGCTCAGTCTTTAGAAATAGTGATTGATCAGTTAGCTTCACAGGATAATCAGATATTAGTACTTTCTCCATGAATAAATTTGGATTGGGAGGGAACCAGAATCTAGTAGCTTTGTGGGATGCAAAAGATATCTTAAATACTGTTAAGCAGGTCTTGCAATCAGCAGATATACGAAGCCTCTTTTTTTCACCCCTTTGTATCCAGCACCTTGAGTAGCTACAGGGGATCAGAATAGTATAAGTTCTTCAAAGAACTTTCATTAATAGCTGGGGCAGGAAGTCTAATGTGAATGAAATGCTCAGCAGTGTAGGACAGTGGGTGGGGGAGCCTAACGTATTCCTGTTGTCAACCTCAGACTGCACAGCTGGTTAATGGGCAGTTCTCCAGTCGCCACAACAGAGGCCAACTCAGATGAGAGAGGAGAGGACAGACGTGAGCAGGAAGCCTTCTCCCACTAGTACGATGCCTCAGGGTGCTGGAGCAGTTGGCCGGGGAAGATAGTGTTCTTCAGGAGTTTGTCTTCCACATTTCAGTGACCGACGTTTTGAGTGTTGTTACTGAATTCACTGCTTGTTTATTCAGCACTTCTCCACGTACCCCTTGTGAATTGGGAAGGGTGTCCTATGTCTAACTGTCTATATCTGTTATAATAATATTACTCTGGATTAGGGTGTTGATTTCTGGCAAAACAGTAATTTATCATTCATTGAAAGACTAGTGAACTGACATGAATTTCTTTAGCTCAGAGTCCTCATAAACTGAAGTAGGACCTGTTATAATCCCTGTGATGTGTGTGTGGGGATGTGCTCAGTCATGTCCGACTCTGCGACCCCATGGACTATAGCCCTCCAGGCTCCTCTGTCCTTGGAATTATCCCAGCAAGTATACAGGTTGCCATTTTCTCCTCCAGGGGATCTTCTTGACCCAGGGATTGAACCTGCAGCTTCTGTGGATCCTGCGCTGGCAAGCAGATTCTTTAGCACTGAGCCCCCTGGGAAGCCCATTCCCATTTATACAGATGATGAAACTGATACTTAGGAAGGTTCTTGCCAAAGGCTACACTGGTGATGCAGCTTAATTTGAGGCCAATGTCTGAAACCATTGTAGCTACGTCCTCCCACAGAAAGACAAGCACCGTCACCTGAAAAGAAGGCTGTATGTGTTACTTCAGGAGGGGTGGTCTGGAGATGGTTGGAACGCCTGAGTGTTCCTGAAGGGGAGCTAGTTGTCCTTTTTTGATCACTGAGTTTGAGAAGTCGTCAAGATGTGTCCAGTTTCCCCCATCTATTTAAAAAATACATGGGCAGGTCGTATCCTTTTAATCTCACATTCATATCAGTGGTCATTAATTGTAAAGCATCTGAATGTTTTGTCTTTACCTTAAACAGTAGTAGCCCATTCTACAAGAATGAGTTTTTTCCATTTTTATTTCTGCCTGTATGTTTTGTAGGTATAAGTGGTAGATGGTGAAAATGGCTGTTTATTAAAAAAAACAGGAAAACAAATTAAGACTTTGCTGCATAATCTAGTTGTTAAAAAACATCTCATAGTCACAGGGGTAAATGAGTTTAAGTGTTAGTCCAGTGCCTTAAGGTTGTATTTTACCTGTCTCTCAAGTTGAAACCATAGTGCGCACGGACACTGAACTCTCTGAATTAATCAAATTGCTGTGTTTTCAACAGGATGCATTCAGTTTACTGGCCTATTCAGATCCTTGGAACAGCCCAGTGGGAAATCAGCTCGACCCAATTCAGAGAGAACCTGTGTGCTCAGCCCTCAACAGTGCAATATTAGGTAAGGGAAGCCGGAAAGCACAGCTTCAACTAGTCTCTCGAGTATTTGAGACGGTATTTGTGCTGGCATTTATCCTTCGGTAAAATCTTAAGGGAAATGTTTTTTACATTAAAAAAAAATTACAGTATAGAAAAATTCCTGTTATCTCAGTCCCAGATTAAATGGATTCAAATGGAATAAAAACAGTACACTGGGGTGTATCTTGCGATGTCTGGAAAACAGGTTTCTGTGTGAATGTGGACAAGCATTCCTGGCCTGAATCACCCGTGCCCAAGCTCCCGCCATGCTGAAGATACTGGCTCGGCCTCCCGGTGGCTCTTCAGTGCTGTCAGCCCCAGCTCTTGGAGATGCAGGCTGTTTGCATTAAAGTTCAGATTTAACTACATGCCGTCACCAAGTGAAAAAGGGAGGGAAGGGGAGAGCAATACATAGGCTTAGCCAGGGACTTGCTGTCCCCTGACTGGTGGCCATTCCTGTGAGCAGAGTGTGGTGCTTATAAACTGAACAGACACTCTTTAAATGAATTCAGTAACTGCACGTTTTATGCATTTATATACAAACTACATAGGGTTGATTGTTTACATAAAATGACATTTTAATGTCGGGTCAATTTCTTTCAAAGGGAATTCGGATGAGAGTGACTTTTCACCTTACATTTTAGAATGGGATTTCTCAAGAAAAGTGGGAGTTACCAGTTTGAAGTCTGTTGTGTGCTGTTTGGCCGTTAGGCTTGGGCGCTTTGAGGAACGTGCAAGACTCAGATGAGGGCAGTGCACGCAGTCAGTGTGTAGGCAGGAGTCCGAGCGAAGGCCAGGGCTCAGACAGCCGGAGCAGAAAGGGGACAGCTCAGAGCTCTGACGCTGGGGCCTGTCTGCTGCTTTGCCCTCATAAGGTTCATTACTATTAACTGTTGTGGCTTATACTGAAGTTTTGGCATAGGAAGTGGTATTGTGTTACAGTTTTCTCATGTTTAAAATTTGTATATAATACTGTGAACTTCTTTGGTTAATATGTTGTTCTTTGGTTATACAAAATTTAGTTAGCTATACCAGTAAAAAATAAGTATACTCAGTAGCAGTGCTAGGATTGTAGGACAAATTGTAGTTTACTGTAACTGTCTTTTTGAAATGACTACATACATTATAGATAATCATGAAGCCCTAATTGCTTTGTATCTGGGTAACACTCAGACTCGGAAAGAATTTTTGAAGAAAAGTGACCAGTTTTCATATGACAGTTAAGAATCTTACATTCTTGAGGGAAATTACAATTTCAAGTAGTCAATTGCTTAGGACTATTATCCGAGAGAGAGAGAGATATATATAGTCTCATATATTGTGCCATAAATTATGTAGTTCAACTATAAATACTGGTTAAGTTTATTAAATATATATTTAATTCCTGCAAAAGGAATGACAAGACTTAAACTGCTGTGTGCATATGTGTGCGTATTTATAAATACTGTGCTGTATTATAGAGTTTCATGTCTCAACAGTGCTTCAAGTTACATTACTAGTATATGATGCCTGCAAGTTTTGTATTTCAAAAAAAATCTAAAGGACAGTTATAAATGATGTGCCTTCCGTGGCCAAAATAAAACTGTAACAAAGTGCTTACCAACCCAGATAGCATTCACCACTACACCCTGGAGAGAAGTAGGCAGTCTCTGTTGGGTCATATCCCCAGAAAGGAAGAATCCCATCAGTGAAACTTCACTGAAAACCTGGTGCCTTTTTCTCTGGTAATGTCAAAGTGACCCTGATCAAACAGAGATACTAAATATTCCTTACTAACCACTGCAAACATTAGATAAGAAATTACAGCATTCCCATTATAGTAAATATGGAAGTAAAAGTTCTTGAATATCTAACAAAGTCTTAATTCTGCAAGAATCTGTTACGACTTGAATACCCAGTGACCACAGTACCTGGTCATAGTAGATGTCCAAGGCACTGTCTGCTTAAAAACCAGCTTTGCTGCTTAGCTCGTCAGAACAGTACAGGCACTGGTAATTTTGTAAGCAGTGCAGCATTTTCCTGATTGAGAGATGCTGTTTATAATGTCTTGCTAATTGCCGTTTCCACTCTTAATCCTTTTTCCTCAGAAACCCACAATCTGCCAAAGCAACCTCCACTTGCCCTAGCCATGGGACAGGCCACCCAGTGTCTGGGACTGATGGCCCGATCAGGAATCGGATCCTGTGCTTTCGCCACAGTGGACGACTACCTACATTAGCTATGCATTTTCGGAGCTCACACTTATATTGTGGCATATAGACAACATGGAAGTAGACCAGCTCTGCTGATTTGAAATTTAGATTTTTTTAATTATGTACTGGGGACAGGTTTTTGTCGCTTTACATTGCTTCCTAGTTTACAGCATGATGCAAATGATTTTCTAACTTAGTGTTAGGAGAAATTATTTTCCATCTTTAACCTCTTAGTTGTCTAAGAGTTAAATATTACTGAATTTCAGACATTCAAATTGATCATCACAAATCCTTTAAAACAATTACCTAAAAGAAACCAAAAAACCCTGCCTTCTTTGTTGGGGGGAGAGAGGGGGGAAGGAAATGGAACAAGTTGTGTTTGTGTTAGCATGTGGGTGATGTAAACTTCAAATTGGGAGGTATTCTGACCCCCGCTCCCATATAAGCATTCAATCAGTGTAACTTGCAAAATGCATAAACATCTGACAGTTTGAATTTATAGTGTTGATGGAAGAAATCATTTTTAATGTGTACTGTAAAACTTGAAATACTCAGGAGCTGAGTGAATATGTTTGTTGCTACTTACAATCCCGACCTGTTAGTCCCAGTAGTTTTGTTTTAACATGGTCTTTCTCAGCTTTGTTTCCTGTTTAACTACAGATGACTTCTGTTGTAGACTCACAAGTTGAACTGTTGTATTATAACAGTATTACATGTCAGCAGTGTGGTTATGACCTTTATTTATATAAAAACCAAATATTTAGTCAATTTACCGTGTCTTAATTTAATCTTTGTACACCTTCCATTTTTAAGTGCTTAAAATGAGTACTATATTGCAATAAAATGTAGTGATACAATTAACCAGCCATTAAAAATTTACTTCTACAGATACCAGAGTGTCAGTTGAATTTATACATTAGGTATTTGCATACTTATGATTAATATAAAGTTAGAAGAAGTGAAATGAATGGTTGCTACTATAAATCTGAGCTCTGCAACCTAAGACCGCCTTGCGTTTACTGGCCTCCCTGGATTAGGGCCAAACCTGATACTGTAGGTGATACAGAAAGCAGGAAGTTAATCTTATTTTCACAATATCATATGGCATGTGAGTTGCCAGTTTTCAAGCAAACCCCCAAACTGGTTAAAAGTAAAATATAAACAGGCTCTTCAATAGAATGACCGTATCTTTGCTTTGGCAAAGGTCTCTGCTGGCTGTACACGGAGTCTTAAACCTTCTTTTAAAAGAGCAGATTATCTACACTTGGATACAGCGCCCTTCCACAGCATCTGTGAAATTCTCATCAGTGGCACCAAAACACCTGAGATGAGCACATCTGAGAGGGTCAGCAGGAGACACGCACTGCCATCCCGGGGGCGGGGGGAGCAGAGGCGCCCTTCCGGCGTGGGTCTGCTCACGGCCAATAAAACGGGAAAACACTTAAAAAAGGAAGGAGAACAGTCCTTTTAAACTGCTGCTTCCAGGATGCTCAAAGACTAGGACGCACACTTACACGCCAGGTGGATGACGTGTGACTAGGTACCGCCCCAAGAGACTTGAGAGTCTTATAGTGACTCTAAGGAAGGGTTTATAAGCGATTTATTTATTTTTTCCAGAAAAATTAAATTCTTTAAATAACCAAGTTCTATACATACAAAGTACTCGTTCTTCATCTAGCTTTGATTTACTTCTTGGGAGTTTTCATCTTTCTGACCATCCAGCGTTTTGTAAATCTCTTGGCATTTTGTTTTCTCTGAGATCCTAGAATAAAAGGTTTTCTGCAGTTAAGAATAAAGAAATAAAATTCCCAAGAAAGAATTCACAAATTTTCTACATAATTAAAATTTGTTAAAAAAAAAAGAATAAAATTTGTTACATGTACACATCTACTGGGCTTCCCTGGTGGCTCAACAGTAGAAGAATCTGACTGCAAGGCCAGAGACAGTTCAGTCCCTGGGTTGGGAAGCTCCCCTGGAGGAGGGCAGGGCAACTCACTCCGGTGTTCTTGCCTGGAGAATCCCATGGGCAGAGAAGCCTGTTGGGCTAGAGGCCCTGGGGTCACGGGAGTCGGACACAACTGAGCACACATGCACACATCTATGACACCTGTTCTTTAGACTAAGCAACTTTAAAATAGTAACAGAAGCCATTATAAGGAAAAAGATACTTCATGAATATTTACTATCTCCTTAACAAAGAACATTATTCATATAAAACTCAGACTCAAGAGAATAAAGCCAAATCTTACCCCAAGTATTGTTCAAAAACTGGGCTGCAGCCTTTTTCATCGGTAACCTCTTGTTTTCAAGAGACAGGAACTTGTTTACTAGGAAAGAGGATTATTTATCATTTTTTTGTTTAATTCACAGTTAGAAAGGAAGAAAAACAGTCTGTAAGGAAATTACCAGTAGTCCTGTTGGTTCCAGGGCCATATAAACAATTCTGTATGAAGGCTTTGGCTGCTTCTTGCCTTGAATCCCTCAAATCTTGATCTTTTAGCCTTACAGCCATGTAGCTTTTATTCTGGCTGGTGATCAACACAAAAGGGGGAAATTAGTAGAAAATTATTAGTAGAGCAAATACTTTTTTTCTTTTAATATAAATACCAAAAATTTTCCACAGAGGAACCAATCTAAAACCGCTAATTGAGGTAATACCCCCCTCAAAGGTCACCTTTACATCCTACACACAAAGAAGACTTCTTACCCAACAGTCTGTACTTTCTGCACTTTTTCTTTAGCTTTCTTAGAAGAGTCACTTCCTTTCTCTCGTTCTTCATTTTTCTTTTGCAAATTAACTAAAAAATTCAGTTATAGTTCTCATTAGCATTTGTGCACAAATAAATCAAGAATATATACTGGAGTTTACTTTAAATATCCACTACACACTAATTTGTATGTGACCATACAATACAAAATAAAATTTAAGACTGAGCTCCCAGTGCAGGGAGCTCAGGTTCAATCCTACGGGGGGAACTAGATCCCACATGCCAAAACTAAAAGATGTGCATGCCACAACTAAGACCCGGCATCGCCAAATAAATTATTTTCTTGAGGAAAGAAACAAGCTAAAGCCCTCCAGGCCCGTTCCCACGTGCCTTCTCAGGGTCGTCAACATTTAACTGCAAATATCAGAAGATGCCCTTGACACTTAATGAGAGGTTAGTTAAATAGTTCATACCTTCTTTCAACTTTCCCGGTGATTTCTTCACACTAAGGAAGAACAAGCAAAACACTGACTGGGATGGTTGAGAGCAATGATAACTCAAGTTATCACAAAATTTCAGCTGGTTTTACAAATAAGATAACCCCCTTTAACTACAACCATTCTCAATTTTTACTTAGCATCCTTAAAGTCACTCCCCAATGCACTGTCAACAACTCCCAATCAACAAACTATATTAAGCCAGGAGGATCAGAATTTAAAATCTGAAAGTACATTAGCAGGCTTCCAAAGAAGCAGATTGTTGTGGTTGATAGAGTTAAAAGTATTTAAGAATTATGTAATACAGTATTTGAAACATGAAGTGAAAGGTGGTAGGCCTGGCTCACTTTCTGTGGAGAGAGCTGAAAGGATTAATTGAACACTTCAGACATAAGAACAGAGACAAGCAATGGTAGTCTCAAGAAGTGTGGTCTAATGGAGAGAGAGTCAATGGGCAGAACACAATGAGATTAATATACAGAAGTGGAAAAGCTAAACGGTGGGGGCAGTGATGGGGTAGAGGCAGTAAGAAGGGACAGGTGACATCTTAACTTGGTTTTCAAAGATCAAAGGGACTTTGCCACCATGATGTATTCAGAAACTGAGTAACTGTGGAAAAGTTCTAGGGAAAAAGAACCACTGTCCTAGCAGGGCTAAGCTATTGAAAGCAATAAGAGGAGACAAAGGGGAACAGTTAAAAAATAGCAAATATTTAATCTGAATTTAGAACAGTATGGAATCAGACTGATTCCATATCGCAGAGGAGAAAGAGGAGCTTTAAACATCCGGTGGATGGCAAAGCTACTAAATGAAAAGGGGAACGAGGAGGGGGAATTATGTGGCTCAGATGGTAAAGCGTCCGCCTACAATGCAGGAGTCCCAGGTTGGATCCCTGGGTCGGGAAGATACCCTGTAGAAGGAAATGGCAACCCACTCCAGCTGCCTGGAAAAGTCCCATGGAAACAGCCCACTGGGTCACAGAGAGTCAGACAGGACTGAGTGACTTCACTGTAACAAGGAGGGAGAAGCAGATGAGGCAAGCCCGGGACAGGCTGAGTTTTAGGAGCCTATGGATAACAGACTAGTACTCCACACCCCACTAAAGGATGAATTTCAAAACACTGTTTTATTCACACCATCTATCCTGCCCCGAGGTACACTGACAGTGGTCCACAATTTACTCTTAAGAACTCACTGAGATCAGCAACTCAGAAGCTAGAGTTACCCATGGGAACAACAAAAATAAGAAACAGCCACAGATGGAAAAGAAGTGGCACATTTCCCTCCATCTGTCCCACCAAATTCAAATATCTCCTGTGTAGCTTTTTAATTTAGACGACAAATGTACCAAGACGCCATTAAAACACTGTATGTAAACAAGTAATAAAACGAGATCCACCACTTACCTAGTTTGTGAAGCTGTAGTTAACTTCTCTAGAATAGTATCTGGAAGGAGTTTTCTTTTCTTAAAAGCATTTTTAAAAAAAATCAATAAAAAGGAAGGAACAGGACAACACGTGCAGCCCTACATCTAGGCAAATAAATGATCTGAACACTGCCCTCCACTACCTCTAAGCTGTGGGAAGACGGGCCCAAGCAACTCAGAACCTACTCCTACTTCACTTGGAAGACGTGAAGGCTGGAAAGAGTGCCTGCTTTATTCCAACCCTCGGGTGACGTTATACACCGAGGGCAGTACAGAGTCACGTCCACCTGTGGCCAATCTCCCGAACATCAGAGCGCGAACCAAGCATCCTCTGTTTGCACGGCCCTCCATTTACCCAGCGCTACCTTCTCATAGCTACCCAGGTTCACATAAAGCACCTCCGCCGCGCGTCAGAGGTGGGTCTGGCCCTACGATTTCAAGTGCACACCTCTTCCCGAACCTAATTTGAATCGGTGGACAGCGAGGAGCACGAGGACGCGGATGTCAGTGCTGTCCGAAGAGACCACCGGCGGCTCTCCTCCACCCCGAACCCCCGCAGCCTTGAACTCTCCCCCGAGCCGGCCCGTGAAACGCGCCCCCCTTTGGAAACCTCTAACCTTCTGTTCGATGAACAGCTCCTCGCGCCGCTTCCTCTTCTCCTTCAGAAGCGCTCTGTCCCTGGAAGAGACCGCGACAAGTAAGGGCGGGCGGAGAAGAGAAGGGGGACGGTTAGGCCGCGCTTCCCCCCTGGCCTGGCCCGGCCCCCGGGGCTCCGAACCTGCGCACCGTCTCCCGAACTCGCCGCTCCTCCTCCTTCGCTTCGGCCTGGGCGCTGGCGAAAGTCAGCTCCTCCGGGGCCTCGTCGTCAAGCTCGTCGTCCCCCTCCTCTTCTTCCTCCAGCGGCTCGGCGGCCGCGCCGCTGCTGGGCTGCCCGAGCAGCAGCCCGTGCCCCGCCTCCTCCTCCGAGGCGGGTTGGCCCTCGTCCACCATTGCCGAGGCGGACGCCGGGGCGCGGGACGCGCGCGGCCTGAGCTGCACCATGACCCGAGCTGCGGGGGCCCGCCGTCTTGACCTCTGATCCGGAAGCCGCACGCATGCGGGGAGTGACGCAAAGGGCAGGCGCCGCCGGGGTTCTGCCGCCCTCTGCTGGTTCGGAGGCCCCACCGCGCGTCACGGAGGCGCATGCGCAGAACAGGGAATGGGGCGTGGCCTAAGTGCCCGGGGGTTCCTTTCCACCAGGCTCGGAGCCTGCGCGCCGCCGGCCAGGATGCCGGGTCGGTCCTCGCCCACGGTTACGCGAGCCGGTGGACTTGCGGGCTTGTGTCCAGGGAGGGCCGATCCGTGCTGCTGCAGCCTTAGCGGGGATGCCGAGAGCGTTGTTGCTTCGATCCCCGCGCTCCTCGGGGCGGGCTGGCGCGGGTCACGCCGCCCGGTACCCAGGAACCCGGGGACCTCGAGCCCCGGTCGCCCTGTCGCCGCCTCTTTGCGCTCAGAGAGCCGCTCAGTCGTGTCCGACTCTGCGACCCCATGGACCGCAGCATTCCAGGCCTCCCTGTCCATCACCACTCCTGGAGTTACTCAAACTTCATCTTCACCAGCCCCATTTTACATACCGAAACTGCATTATAAGTATTGTAAGTCCCTCCTACCCATGCAAAGGATCCTTGGCATTTATTCAAAGGCGGTTGCAAATGCAGCACAAAGTTTTATGTCACCATGTGGCTTCTCCGAAAGCCAAGGGTGTGAGAGTAAATGCACTTTTGTGAGGGCCAGAAGTGATGTCACCCAGCTGCATAATCCCCCGGGAAGCCCACCTGGTCTAAGGGAGTTCGTTCTGTCCAACCTTCCCGCGCTGGGTGCTGATGGCCACTTCCCGCCTTAGTCTCTGGTGCTCGCTGATAGCGGGCTTCCCTGGGTCTGCATTAGGTGGTGGGAGTTGAAGGGGGGCTGTGTTCTTCCTACTTTACAAAAAAGGTACTCTGAGCATACACTTTTTAAGTCCCATGGGAAAAACTCCCTTCCAGATTCCGTGTCTGGGGAAGCTTGGCAGACCCCACAGGGTGTGTGTTTATAACAGTGAGAAATGTCCTGTGTATATGATACTGAGAAACAGCCCACCATCGCCTCTCCCTTTCCTCTCCGGCTGTTGCTCAGTTTTAGGCAGCTTTGTTTAACCTATATTTGCATCATTCTTTCTTCTCATCCTGATTTTCTACCTTGCTGCTAATTTTCTCTTCCATCCTTGCATGAGTTCTTATTGTAAGCTATCCCTGCCCTGAACTTGAGGTAAGGCAGTCAAACAGATAAACACTGAAAAGAAAACGTCCCAAACAAAGACATCTCTTGGGCTAACATTTTTATGCAATAAGTTACCTGCATAGAGAGTGATTTCATTTTCTACCAAACCTTGCGCAACAATCAGAAATACCAGAGTTTTACCAAACCTCTATTTCTATCTCTGCCCAAATAGCAAAAACACAATCAGCAGAATCACTTTGTTTTAGACAATCTAATTACAAAGTTACCCAGTAACCAACCAAACACATCAGAGTTATGTTTAGGATCAAACAAAATAATAGGAACTGACTTCAGAAGTCCTGTGACTTCTCCTTCTAAACACAGTTAATACTGTTGCTTCCAAGTCCCCATCAACCATCAGCAGTTTGGATTCCAGCCTGGCAATCAAAAGATATTTTCAGACTTTCCAGTATTTGGCTCACCATCCACCAGACTGCCTCCCCTGCTGGTAGGTGGGTACTTAGATGCGCTGAGATTTCTTCCTTCCCCAGGATGGCTATGAAACAGTTTCAGTTTCATGAGGAGCGAGGGCTTCAGGAAGAGTTGTCCCACATGGCCCCTGGAAATGAAACCTGAAACAGAAGGACGAACACAGCAAAGTTATGAGCAAAATGAGCATTCTGCTTCAGCAAGTCAACTTTCTTAGTTACAGCCAGAATAAAATCCAGATTCTCACAAGAGTCTTAGGCATTTTGGAGCCCAGTTCTTTCATCGAGTTTCTGACAATGCCAAATGCAGACACTTCAGTATGGGTTGGCACCCTCACTCCCAAGGGAATTTGGGAAAGCAATTGCTTAGAATTTCAGTTCAATTCAGTCACTCAGTTGTGTCCTACCCTTTGCAACCCAATGGACCACAGCACTCCAGACTTCCCTGTCCTTTACCATCTCCCAGAGCTTGCTCAAATTCATGTCAGTGATGTCATCCAACCATCTCATCCTCTGTCATCCCCTTCTCCTCCTGTCTTCAATCTTTCCCAGCATCAGGGTCTTTCCCAATGAGTCAGTTCTTTGCATCAGGTAGCCAAAGTATTGGATTTTCAACTTCAACATCAGCCCTTCCAATGAATATTCAGGACTGATTTCCTTTAGGATGGACTGGTTGGATCTCTTTGCAGTCCATGGCACTCTCAGAGTCTTCTCCAGCACCACAGTTCAAAAGCATCAATTCTTCGGCACTCAGCTTTCTTTATAATCCAACTCTCACATCCATACATGACTACTGGAAAAACCATAGCCTTGACTAGACAGACCTTTGTTGACAAAGTAACGTCTCTGCTTTTTAATATGCTGTCTCAGTTGGTCATAACTTTCCTTCCAAGGAGTAAATGTCTTTTAATTTCATGGGTGCAGTCACCATCTGCAGTGATTCGGGAGCCCACAAAAATAAAGTCTGCCACTGTTTCCACTGTTTCTCAATCTATTTGCCATGAAGTGATGGGACCGGATGCCATGATTTTAGTTTTTTGAATGTTGGGTTTAGAGTTTAGGTGCCTATAAACGAGAATTTTATTTTAAGGAGGAAGGAGAGACATGATTGTATTTTGTGATTGCTTTGCCAAACTCATAATTGTAAGTTTTACAAACTGTTACACAACTACATAAAGCCGCCTTCACTGGTACTAAGGACAAGAGAAAATGAACCTCATACACCATGCAGACCATAAGGATCTTAACTGAGTCAGCTGGCCCACTCCAATCACTGAAATTCACAACTAGCCCTGACTTGTAGTTAAAAAGTAGGAAAAAGAGAAAGATCAAAGAAAGAAGAGGGAGAGAAAAGAAGAAAAACCAATGATTTCTGCTTCCTTCAAGGGAAAACACTTATGACAGGAGGAACAAAAAAAAACCCAACTAATTCTACTGTGTTATTAATAAATGAAAATCAACTGAGCACAATTTAAAATAAAAAAAAAGCATCTGGTCATATTACTTATTCTTGACACAACAGTGATCAAGAATGTTCCCTTTGTGCCATGAATGGACGGCCCTGACCAACTGGCATTTCTGACCCTTCTGCCTCCCCTCCCGCAGGCCCACCCCATCCCCACCACCCCCAGCACATGGAAGGCTGCCCACTAGAAAGCTCCTCCCAGCACAGTCCCTTGAGGACTTTCCAGGAAGCACAGCCAGGCAGAGAACACTCGGGGACTTCCCTCGACTTGCACCTGTTCTTTCGTGTGCCCCTTTCCACATTCATCCTCCTCCCGTTTACCAAAGCAAGCTGCACCTGACCTCACCCATCCCAGATCTTACATGGCACCTTATCCCAGAATGTGAAAACTTACAGGCTGCCAAACCAAGGGATGTTTGAAACACTGCTGTGGATCTGAGAAAACAAATGGTTTCGAAGGACTGGGTGATATACGCAAACAGCGTCACTTCATTCTTGCTTTCAGTAAAATTGAAAGAGGCTCTTACAGAACTGCCAAACAGATCACTAAAGTCGATTCAGGAGTACTCTGGATATTTCAGCATATAAGGAAGAAGGAGGACCAAAATCTGAGTGGCCAGAACAAAATTCCTTTCATGCCCAGGGTTTATGTGGCCCAGGTTTCTGAGTATTTTATGTATGGCATTGTTGTTCAGTTGCTAAGTTGTGTCCAATTTTGCAACCCAATGGACTGCATGCAGCCAACCAGGCTTCCCTGTCCTTCACCATCTCCCAGAGCTTGCTCAAAGTCATGTCCAGTGAGTCAGTGATGCCATTCAACCATCTTGTCCTCTGTCGTCCCCTTCTCCTCCTGCCTTCAATCTTGCCCAGCATCAGGGTCTTTCCCAATGAGTCAGCTCTTCGCATCAGGTGGCCAAAGTATTGCAGTTTCAGCTTGAGCATCAGTCTTTCCAGTGAATATTCAGGACTGATTTCCTTTAACATTGACTAGTTTGATCTCCTTGCAGTCCAAGGGACTCTCAAGAGTCTTCTCCAGCACCACAGTTTGAAAGCATCAATTCTTCAGTGCTCTGACTTCTTTATGGTCCACCTCTCACATCTATACATGACTACTTAGTTTTTGCTTTTCTCTATAAAAAGCAAAAACTAAGAATTACAGTTGACATTGAAAAGGTAAGTGTTTAGTTTGGAAAATCTGGCCTGCCACCCCTCAGACTGGAATTAGAGACACAGATACTCGAAACAGAATTCCCCCTTGCCCCCACCCCAGAACAAGCTGCGCAGGGTCATAGCAGCTCCCTTCTTCAAGCGTTCACTGCTTTGATGCTCACTAAGGAAGTCTGTCCTCTCAAATCATAACTGTTGGAAATGACGGCAGTAAAGGATGAAAGACCCCTGTGCCTGGAGGAGGACCTCAGTCACTTGGCCACAGAGAAGCAGCCTGATTTCCAAACCAGGCGCGGAGCTCCAGGTGAGGGGTGTCCGGGCCCCGTGTTTCACATCCACCTCCAAGGTCACAGGACCCTGCGACCACGTTGCAGCCAGAGCAGATCTGACCCCTCTCCACACACACACACACACACACACACACACACACACACACGGTCCTGCTAGTTGCTCAGTCGATCAAAAATAGCTTCACTGAAATTTTACCTAAACTCAACCTTCCTTCCACATCCTACAGGAAGTCCATCTCTTCCTGTGTTTGGGGACAGGCCACAGGGCTCTCTGGGGTCCCCCCGCCGCGGTGAGTTAGGAAACCTGATCGTCTTAGGATACGGGTTTGTTTCCCGTGACCACAGGCCTATTAGGGCTGCAGCATCAGGAACTCTGCCTCCTGACGGCACGCAATCCTCAGGGTGGATGTGTCTGTGTCTCTGTCAGTCACTCAGTCGTGTCCAGCTCTTTGCGACCCCATGGACTGTAAGTCGCCAGGCTCCTCTGTCCCTCCACACACACTACTGACCACCTCCACCTCCTGGAGCCCCTCTCCCCGCCCCCTCCCCCACACACAGGCCTCCCGGGCTGGCTGCCCCCTGGGGGCCTCTGCCCAGGTGGTCCTGGCACCTGGCAAGCTCTTGGCCCAGAGGTCTCCTCGGCGAACTGCTCCTCCTCCTCCAGGGCTCTCTGAGGCTCCCCCACCACCCACTGGGTCCCGAGCCCACCTGCTGCCTTTTCCCACAGCCCGATCCCACTTCTCATGGGCCACACAATGTGCACATCTGTTATCTTATCGTTCACTGTTTGCCCTTTCAGCTAGGAGGCCATCTTCACATGGCAGGGTTTTTATGTTGTTTACTAATATATCCTATCCTGAGCACTCAGAACAGTCCCAGTGGTAAAGAATCTTCCTGCCAATGCAGGAGACGCAGGTTTGATCCCTGGGTGGGGAAGATCCCTTGGAGAAGGAAATGGCAACCCACTCCAGTATTCCTGCCTGGAAAATTTCATGAACAGAGGAGCCTGGTGAGCGACAGTCCATGGGGTTGCAAAAGAGTTGGACACAACTGAGTCACTAAACAACAACCAAGTCCAGGGCATAGTATGTGCTAAATAAACACTTGTGGACTTGGACTAAATTCCAAAGTTTAGAGAAATGCAAAGCAGCACGACTGGGGGTCACAGGGCATTGGGGGGGTCCACCATCCTCGGAAGGCCTTGCACGCCAGTCCCTTCGGCACACTAATCCCATTTTTGCCTCAACAAATACACAGATCCTTACATGCCAAAGACCCCTGGGGTTGAGAAACAGTCAAAACCCTGATGTCTAAATCCCCAAATGCCTAGTCTAATGGTTTCTCAGGAAATCATCCAAGATAACCATCTGGGACTGGGGAAATGACAAAAAAACAAAATAGGAACTAATTAACACCTTGAAAATATTAATACATTTCAATGGGAGGCAAATACCATGACTCTGTTTCTAAATTAGAATTAGAGCAAAGAATCCAAACAACTTGTGCAAGGTCAAAGGAGTCTTGGGAAATCCAAATTGAAAATGTAGGCAGAAATAAGTAAATACATAAAACGCAGGCATCATTTCCTTCAACCTATTTAGGTAATAAAGAAATCAGGTGAAAAGGGAGTATCATTTCAATTTCCATTTTTCCTACTAACCTAGAGCTGGGGCTGGCAAAATGTTTTCTGTAAAAGAGTCAGAGACTTACTATTTCATCTTTGCAGGCCAGACAGTTTCTGCTGCAACTCCTCACTTCCATTGTTTAAATGCAAAAGCAGCCACAGACAATATGGGAACATGTGGCTGTGGCTGGGTGCTAATAAAACTTTGTTTACAAAAATGTAGCGGGTGAATTAGGATTAGGCAATGGCACCCCACTCCAGTACTCTTGCCTGCAAAATCCCATGGACGAAGGAGCCTGGTGGGCTGCAGTCCATGATGTCCCGAAGAGTCGGACACGACTGAGCGACTTCACTTTCACTTTTCACTTTCATGCATTGGAGAAGGAAATGGCAACCCACTCCAGTGTTCTTGCCTGGAGAATCCCAGGGACGGGGGAGCCTGGTGGGCTGCCGTCTATGGGGTCACAGAGTCGGACACGACTGAAAGGACTTAGCAGCAGCAGCAGCAGCAGCAGCAGTGAGTGAATTTGGCTGACAGGCAGTAGTTTGCTGACCTCTGACCTAGGCTAGAGTTCAGCCAACATCTGTTACATGTGAGATGTGAGAAATTTCGGCCTTTGTTTAGATGCGTGTTTAAACCAGCTTCTCAGTCACTCTGGGTTTGGTTCCCAGTTTGAAAACCCGAGTAGGATGAGATGACCACCCACGTCTCTTCTAAATGTCAGCTTTGATGATGCCCAGATAAAAGCATTGCTGGCTTCACTGGTCAGTTATACTCGTCTGGTACAGAGAGCCTTGGCTCCCGAAAAGGTCCACGGAGCATCTGTTGTGATTCCTGCGGTTGGTGCTGTTCAGATCTGATCAAAGTCCCAGACCAGCAAGAGGCCTGTTTATTTGAACAGAGACACCGCAGGTTTTCAGGACGGGAAGCTGAAGAATGTTTGCTGAAGATGAGCAGCAGCTGAAGCAGGCGTGCGGTTTGGGGAGGCCCAGCTTATGAAGTTACATTGTTACACGCCAAGAATTTCGTCTGAACTTGCAGGGAAAACTGCCAAGTTCATTTTCCTTTCACATGAAGATGTACACAATGGATGCATATCAGAATCACCCAGGAAGCGTATAAAACAGGGGGAGCTCAGGCTAAACCTCACACCAATTACATCGGAATCTCCTGAGTGGTACCCAGTCATCAGATTTTAGAAAAAAAAATTTTTTTAAGATTTTTTTATGTGGACCATTCTTAAAGTCTTCATTGAATTTGTTACAATATTGCTTCTGTTATGTTCTGGTTTTTATGGCCAAGAGGCATGTGGGATCTTAGGTCCCTGACCGCGGGTGGAAGCCACACCCACTGCACTGGAAGGCCAAGTCTTAACCTCTGGACCACCAGGGAAGTTCCCAGGCATCAGATTTTTAAAAATAGGCAGTTGAGGCAAAAGTCACTGACTAAAGTAATGACAAGACGCTTCAGTAATGTTTCACATTTTACTTATTCATATTGATGCATTAGTTCATAGTCTACCTTATTCTGGAAAGGAAATTACACTATTAAGAACATATAAACTACATTAAAAGGGAAGACAGGAAAGCAGGAGTGGAAAAAAGAAATCAAAACAGAGGAGAAGATGTAAACTGGAGCCTAGACTGAGACAACATGTGAATATACGACGATGATCTATACTTTCCTCACAAATTTGGGGGGGCAGGGTCAGTATCATTAAATGGCCACAGGTGCAAACACTCTTGGCAATGTTCTTGCCCAAACATTCTTGGGCAAAAGAGGAATTCGCCCAGGGAGCCCCATGGAGAACAGTGGGTGACAGAGTTGTGTGTGGGTATCTCCCTGGCTTATGTGCTGAGTCTTCAGCTGACCGGCATCTAAATGCCATTACTATACTTAGCTTTAATACATGAATAAAAGTAAAGTCCAAAGCATCAAAGAAGAACTTTCAAAATGTGAAGAAGAAAAACCCATGGCAAACTCCCTGTAAAAAGACATGGCTACCTCAATCTACAGTCAATATGTTTTCTTCCATCAATCTTCAACTAATACGTTGTTTTCTTCCATCAAAGCAACAACAGACCAAATCAGAAAACCCAAACTCTGTGTTACAAAATTAGGACAGCAGGTAACATCTGCTTGGACGACCGTGTCCAGACCTGCTCGGTGCCGTCCGCCTCCCTCCCTGGGAACCCCGTACCTGAATCTGTTCGTGGCCGGGGTGGTTTCCATGTTGAATTCGGCCACGGGCACGCCGCGGGCTGACACCTGGGGGGCAAACATAGCAGCAGGATAGACCACAGAGGAAGTCCCCACCTGCAGGGCAAACAAGCGGAGGCGGACCAGTGACCACACTGGAGAAGCAGCGTCTTTGCAGAAAACCTTACAGAAACTCGGGCCAGCTTGTGGTTGCTGGTGTGAGGGAAGGTAAGCTGGGCGGGATAAATGGAGAATGTCTGGGGGACAAGCGGGAGGTGGGAGGCTCCCCTTTGGCTGATCCCTCGAATTCAGGAAGGATTTTTTTCATGTTTAGTCACCAAATCATGTCTGATTCTTTGCAACCCCGTGGACCGTAGCACTCCTGTCTCCTCTTGTCCATGGAATTTCCCAGCAAGAACACTGGAGTGGGTTGCCATTTCCGTCTCCAAGGGATCTTCCCACCCAGGGCTCAAACCCACGTCTCCTGCCTTGGCAGGCGGGTTCTTTACCACCAGTTAGATGGTACGGAAGAGAGAGCTGAGCACGTGGCAAGAGTGGCAAAGAAATTATCTGATCATCACCCGAGCGGGGTGAGTTTTAGTTCTTTCTGCTCTTTGAAAAGATCAGGGAAGATCATGTGACTTACTTACCACTAGACACAAGTCACAGAGGGCCAGCTCTTTGTCGACCTCCTCCAGGATGGCAGGGTCCAGGTTTTCTCCAAACCACACCACGTGAGGTCGCAGCAGGCCCCCGCATCCTGGCTCCTCACACCTGTAAGAGTGTCATCCTTAACCCACTCCCAAGACCTACTCTTGGGAAGGCTTGCCTAGCTGGATCAGGGGAAATCATAAAGTCTCTATTGTGTCTGGATGCACTGGGGTGATTTGTTGGCGAATGTGTCTCAGCCAACCTTGACGTTCTCTTTCTAAACAGCTTTCTCTTCCCAGTTACTTCCTTCTACTCAGGCACAGCTGTGCTCACGGTTAGCTGGACCCAGGAGGAATACCGGACTCAGATTTGCCTTCAACACACCAACCACTTGCTAATATCATCAATGACCTCCCTCATCTTCTCTCAAATTCACCTCTCTCTTGCCTTGTCGGTAGCCAAGTTCTCCTGTGTCAATTTCCCAAAATCTCTCATCTTTCACTAGCTACTACCCTAGGTCATCTCTAGTCAACGTATTTATTTACGTTCTAAAATAATCTCCCCCAAACACCATTTTCATCATATTAACTGCCTAATCAAGTTTATTTTAGATCGAAACTTTAGAATTTAGTCATGAAAACTTACTCTTTTAGGTCAAAACTCTGATTTTAGTAATGAAAATCCTTATTAAGAAAAGTTTTAAGGGTTAAGTAAACCAGGGAAATGTTAGCATAATTGCTCTTTAGGGAGTAATAATGTACTTTTACACATTGAGTGCTCTGAGTAGCTCTGCAGCAAAGCACGATGCTTCAAACTTGGTTCACTCTAGTGTTTCCATATTTATTTGGGCATGTGACATCTTTTTTCTCCGAGTAGTGCCTGTCAACGTCACGTGGATCCACTGCCCGATGAAACACTTTGCGAAGGGCCATTTTAAGGTCGAGTTTTGAAAAACTGGCATAAAAATCTTTCCAAGGTTTTTTGCTATTGTTAATCTGCACAAATTCTGCTCGGTCCCATAACTTCACCTCTGCGAGACCTCTTACAGCCTCCCTAGCCCTGGATTAGCAACACTGATGAGGAGGAGGAGGGGAGGAGGAAGGCAGCTGAGGCTTCCTGACCAGTTAGGTCCAGGATGCCAGCCACCACGCTTCACACACGCCAGATGAACGTCTACAACACAGCAGCTTCTGAAACTTTCCAGACCCCAAATGATCCCACCACAACACAGAGGAGAAAGGGACAGGACTGATGTACTTCTCTTAAGCCTGGTTTGGTTTACCCTTTGTCCTTTCACCCTTGACCTCATGGATCAGGGCTGGTTTCAGCATTGGCACGTTTCAGAGGCATCTCACCAAGTGAACTTAGATTTTGACTCCTACTAATTTTCTTTCTTTCCTTTTTTTTTTTTTTGCAAACTGGAGCACCAAACACAGATCAAAGTCTTTTTACCCACCGGGGCAGTTGCTCCACTGGGATTCCGGCATCTTGAGTTTTGGGGTCTGGAGCCCTGAAGTAAATAATATTAGAAAAGGAAGAATGTCACTGGTGTAATCAATGAACAAAGAAATAAGATAAGCCGGTAAGATTGTCTCTTTGCCTGGCCATCTATGGCACAAAACTCCTGATGACTACACACTGGCTTACAAGAGGATGAGGAGGGTAGGCACAAACAACTATTATCAGTGGTTCTACCACAAGAAAGCGAATCTGTATGCAGTGGTGGTGCAGTACTGCTGTGCTAAGGGGAGTTTCATGATTTGCATCGTATATGTCACTGCAATTTCAATCACCTGCAATGATACTATAAGTTACCTGTATAATTTATACCAATTTCTAGTGGCTAGGTAGAATTTTTCTCAATATTCTGAGTCTACTCTTAATTTTTCCCCCAATTATAATATTTACAATAGTAAATGTTCATCATGGACATGTTGCAAAGTTCAGAAAGATATAAAAAAGAAATCAAAATTGCCATAATCCTACTGTCCCTGTTAGTACGGTGTTGATTTCCTTCTGGACGTTTAACTACGTACAGTTACATCAACATGGTGAGGGTGGATGTGTGTTTAAATACAAAGTTGGGATCATAATGTATAGAGTTAGAGCCTGTTATTTTCACCTATTATAACCTGTGAGCAAAATATTTGCCTTACAATATGGCAAATTTTATGTCTCATAAACATCCATGGGAGTCATAGATGAATGTTCAGTTTCTTGGTGTTTATAGTCAGCTGAAGAGACAAAACAACACACGCCTATTCCAGAGTGCAGTATAATTACCCTTTTCCTGATAAAGCTGGGCAAATTGGACTCTTATAGTTCTCAGCCACTACTCCACAAGAGGTGCATCGAGTTTTAAATAAGCTACCTGAAAAACACAAGTTTAAACAAGACCGGAATTTAGCATAATCGGGAGCAACTGACTCCACGTCTAAAAGAGTACAAAATGATTTCGTTTCTATACATCACTTTAACAAATGCGCCCATCCAGCTTTCATGGGAAACATCAAGGCATGTAGTGAGGTTGAAAAAGCCAGAACACACGCTCTCCTGGACTTCGTGATCTGGAGAGGAGAGGGGGGAAGGAAGTAACTTACTGCATGGCCAAGGAGCTCTCTGATTACCCAGGTGTTCAGGTGGAATTCAAATTTGCAACAGGGGAGAAAAAGCCAATCTAAACCTAAGGGCAGGATTTACTGAGAATATGCCTGATAGAGGCTCAGTAGCTTGGGATATGTTTTACAAAATCTTAATTTTGACTTAGTAAAGCTTGAATCTTTTCTACAAAAGCAGCTCAATAAATAATCAACTAATAAATGAAGCAAATAATCATAAAAACTAGCAGAGACTTACCTAGCTTAACCCATAAAAGGTGACCTCAGTTCACTACACAGTCACCGTGTGCCCAGCGATGAGGTCACACGGCAGGGGACACACACTGGTCCATTCTCTCCAGGGCTCCTTTGAGAAACCACCTCCTCTGTTCCATGCCAAGCTAATGGAGCTGTCAGTCACATTCCCCAAACACAACCTGGGGCACAAGTTCCAGACTGGTCTAATTGTGGCATCCTGTCCCTCCAGCAGTAGTGTTTGGTCAAAAAGGATGATGATAGTCAGGCCATCCAGAGATTTGTTTTCTGAGGGGATGGCTAAACTGGAGGGAGCCTGGAGCCCCACTGAGTCACTGCTTCTGGAAATTCTGCAATTTGAAATGCATTTCTTTGGACTGAATTTTTGTAGACTATTAAATGGCTTCCCTGGATGGCTCAGCAGTCAAGAATTTACCTGCAATGCAGGAGATGCGGGTTCAGTCCCTGGATCAGGACAATCCCCTAGAGGAGGAAATGGCAACCCACTCCAGTATTCTTGCCTGGGAAATCCCACAGACCAGAGGAGGCTGGCGGGCTGTAGTCCAGACGGTAGCAAAAAGTTGGACACTACTGAGCGGCTCAACACAGCATCACAGACTATCAAATGCCTTTGGGGAAAAATTCTGGCATACCCATTTATGCTCTTGTGTGAACAAATTTATTAGATTTTCAGTGAGAAGAGGGAAGAGGAGGGTGTCAGTGAAAGCAGAGAAGGGAAACCAGAGGGATCCCAGACAAGCTCCTCGGTGTCACAGGAGGCTCCGTGGGGCTCCCGGGAGGGAAGGTCACTGAGCGGGCAGCCCCCTTAAGGTTCCAGGACGGAGGAGAAATACAGTCCGAGCAGACAGTGCCCATGTGCAGGGGCAGGGAAGGGAGAGTAAATGGATCTCCCAGGGATGCCAGGCCTTTGCAGCCTGAATCCTGCTTAAGCCCCAGCCATTCAATGGCCCAAACCTCCCGCTTCCTGGCACCCAGGTGGGGGTGGGGTGGGGAGCACCCCCACCATCTCCATCTGGGAGCACAGGGTCCCCTCAACGGGACCCCCAGGGAGGGGAGAGCACGCAGGTGTGCAGACCGGCTTCTCCAGGCCAGGTGGTCTGCACCCCAGACCCCGGGGTCCCGGCAGCATGCTGCTCTGACTCGGGGGACCCACCTGGGCCCCAGCAGCATGTGTGTTTTCAGTTCTGGGTTCCCCTCCCATGCAAGACCAAGGGCCTCTCACCATGGATTTCCAGCAGGTTCTTGGTGCCAGCCTTGCGGTGCAGCTCATCAATGTTCTGGGTGATGACCACCACCTGTCGGCCCTGCCCGTGCAGCCGGGCCTGGCACTCAGCGATGGCCAGGTGCCCAGCGTTGGGCTCCTTGCTCTGCACCACCTCCCGCCGGTAGTGGTAGAACTCCCACACCTGGGACGGATTCCGGGCGAAGGCCTGCGGGGTGGCCAGGTCCTGGGGGGCAGGGAGGAGGCGGGGGTCAGGAGGGGGAAAGAAGGGCTGATGCTCCGGAAGCCGGGCGGCGGGAGCAGTGGACTTGGGTGGGAGGACACTCCCAGGCGCCCTTTGCCGTGGGCAGCCAGGCACCTTCGGGGGGTGTCGCGGGAACACGTCCATGTAGGTTCATGCTGGCGCGGGCCCGGGGCTCCTGAGGGGCCCTGGAGAAATTAGGTTTAATTTCCCCAGCAAGATCGCAACCCATCCCATCTTCCACTCAGGTGAGCTACGAACACAGAGCAACACATGGGAAGGTAACTTAGGCTGGAAGCCACGTTTTCGTGGAGCTCCAAGTGACATGATGACGATCTCATTTATCCAGGAAGAAAAGTAAAATGCAAAACGCCCAACTGAACTGTAATGGCCATAGTGGGGAAACTCATAGGTGCACACACACACATACAACTACACATTAAAAAAAGTAGTGTATATGTTATAGTAACAGGATATATAAAATACGTATTTTTAAAAGTACAATTCCTCCAAACTTCCCTGGTGGTACAGTGGGTAAGAATCCACTTGCCAATGCAAGGGACACGGGTTTGACCCCTGATGAGGGAACAAAGATCCCGCCTGTGGCACAGCGCAGCCAAGATAAATAAATAAAAATAAATACTCGACAAAATAAAGTAAAAAAATAAAAAATAAATGTTATACACCTTGACTGTGGTGGCAGTTCTATCACTATGTATACATTTGTCAAAATTCACTGAAATGTACACTTAAAATTGGTGATTTTTATTGCATGTTTATTATATCTCAATAAAAATTGAATTTTTAAAACTCTGTGCCCCCAGAGAACTTATATTCTAATGACCTTTGTACAAAATTTTGAGCACTAAGGCCTAAGCCTTTAATGACTCAACACTGGTTTTCATTTGGAAAGTTCACAGAAACTTTTAAAAAATGTGCAATTCTTAATTTCAACATGAATAGAAAAGTAATGAATTATGCTAACCAAAGTTTCCTGGTTCCACTTTGCTTACTAGAGGAAATCCAATTGTTATCTGAATAAGGGCAATCAATGCATGCTGAGAAAGAAAGAAAAGAGGCTGCTTTGCTGAAGTCCGAGGTTTTAATCCTACGGACTTTGTGTCGATGCCAAAAAGAACAGGACAAAACGGTCATAGTAAATTTCAAACTGTTCCCCTCTGATAGAGATTCTGAGTCAAACTGTTAAACGCCTTCATTCAGAAAGAGCCTTTCAGAGTTCCGGAAACATTACCAACCTGGGCTTTCCATTTCCTCCAGTAACCTCCCGCTCCTCTGAACGTCGGAACCCCACTCTCAGCGCTGATACCGGCCCCAGAAATGACGACTATGTGCTTGGCTTTCGCAAAACACTTCCGGAAGTCGGCCATATCTAAAGAGAGTAAAATCTTGGTCAATCCAGGGTTTCATTTGGACATTTACGTCCCAGTTCAATGGCCTATATTTTGAAACTTGACCTTGCATGAAATTATACTTTTAAGATAACCAAATAAAAACCTTCCCATGCAACGAAGATGGCCCCGTGCACCTGCCGTGTGAGAGGACAGTGTCTGCAGAAAGGGGCTGGGGTCTGGGGTGAACAGCCTGAGCTCTGAGCCCCACTCTGCCCGCCGCCGCCCCATCTCCCACGAGTGGGATCCTATGTGAACGGCTGACCCTCTGCTGTCTGGGTCTCCTTGGCTGTTTGATGTGCACAAGTCTGCTTTTCTGAGAGAGCGGGGCTGCTGTGAGGATCAAAAAAGGAGACAATGCAGGAGACACAAGAGGCGTGGGTTCAATCCCTGGGGTGGGAAGATCCCCTGGAGAAGGAAATGGCAGCCTGCTCAGTCTTCTTGGCTGGGAAATCCCATGGACAGAGGAGCCTGGTGGGCTAGAGTCTGTGGGGTCGCAGAGTCAAAATTGACTGAGCGCAAACGCGCGTGCGCGCACACACACACACACACACACACACACACACACAATGAGTGGGGATGTATCTTCCTTCTTAAAAGTAAAAGCAAGCTTGTGTGGTGTGAGGGCTGACCTCAGGCCCACTGGACCCCAAAGCCGTCCCTTCCTCCCCAAATTCACTTCCCTTGGAGGATCCTGCTAATTCCAGCTTCCCTTAGCGTCACTAGCAGGGTGAGGCTGAGGGCCCCTCCCCGTGAACAAACGCTCCATCCCACTCTGGACACACTCTCCTTTACAGCTCAAGGGAGACTTGGTCTTTTTAACAAGACGGCCCAGAGACCTGGGGTAACAGAAGGGGACGGAACGCAGAGAGTGGCACGGCAGCAGGGAGTCGTGGTCACAGCCTGCGGCTCGTGCTCCAGGACATGAGGGCTGGCCCTCCACCTCCAGGCATCCTCCTGCCCGACCTCAGACCCACAGGGGCGGCAGCTCGCCTCCCGTGAGGGCTCCCTACGCCCAGGCTCTGTGCCGAGCACTTGGGCATCACAAGGTAGGCTGAGACAAACATCATCAGCCCAGGACAAGGATGGAGAGCCAGACTGGGAACTGCCGTTGTCTCTCCTGGCAGCGGAGACTGGGTCCTGGCACAGCCTGTGGCTCCCGCTCTCCCGGGCCCTGTGGCCCTGCAGCTCTCGTGCATGAGATAAGGAGAGGCCGTGGCCCAACCGGCCAGGCCTGAGCGCTTCACAAGCTGTGGGAGGCCCCTCCACTGGCCGCGCCGGGAGAAGCCAGGGTGGACCAACATCGCCTCTGGCTGGCCCAGGCCATCTTCCAGGTGCAGCCAATCTGTGCGAAGGCACCGAAGCTTTGAGCAAGACCAGAAGCAGGTTCCTCGGTTGATGGAGCAGGCTCTCTGGTCTCACCGGGGGGCAGTGGCGACCAAGGCTAATTAACTCTTGGACCAATCAAGCGCCCCTCAGGCATGAAACCGGTGATGGAGAAAAGGAAGGAAGAGAGTGGGCTGCAGGGGGAGGTGATGTCACCGTGTATGTAAGACCTACTTGAACTCGGACGAGCCATTGTTAGGCAAAGCTTGGTTTGTGTGGAGATTGGAGACTTCAGTCCACAACACAGCCGGGAAAACAATCGGTTCTGGACGATCCAGAGAGGTGGCATCAGGTTTTCTGTGTTGCGCTAACAATTGAGATGGACTTTAGAAAAATCACAAAACAAACAGAAACAATCAGAAAACACTCATCTTTCTACAAATACACACACACACACACACACACACACACCCGGGCTTCCCAGGTGGCGCTAGGGGTAAAGAACAGGCCTGCCAACTCAGGAGCTATAAAGAGTTGTGGGTTTGATCCCTGGGTCAGAAAGATCCTCTAGAGGAGGGCACAGCTACCCACTCCAGTATTCCTGCCTGGGAATCCCCATGGACAGAGACTGATGGGTGGCAGTTCAGTGGGTCACAAAGAGTCAACCACAACTGAAGCGACTTAGCATGCATATACACATACACATATATACAAAAGAATACCCTTAACAAAAATCCTCAGTAGCAGACTTCATGGTGTTCACACAAACACCGTCTAAACTGGCTATTCACACGGTGTCCTCTCAAGCACTCTGAGGTGCCTAGAACAGTGGATTACAAAGCATGGTTCCCAGACCAGCATCATCCTGAGATCTCATCAGAAAGGTAAAGTCATAGGCTCCACTCCAGACCCACTGAACCAGGAACTCTTCAGGCTGGGCCCCCATCAGTCTCTGGGTAATTCTGATGAACACTTAAGTCTGAGAACCACAGCCTTAGAGGGTTAGGAAGGAGTTAGATGGGAGAATTCATTTGAAAAAAAGGTTCTGACACTTTTTAAAAGGTACGAGAGCCATTGGCTTGACTTTCAGACAAAATAGTTTCTCTGAGAATGTACATTCTGAGAACTTAACGAGGCCGGAAAGATACGTACCATAACAACAAATGGGATTAAGATGAGATCACGTCAAAGAAATCTGTGAGTCTTAAAGCACATTGACTAAATCTTTATCTATCCCTGAGGAGTTAAGACAGGGATAGCAGAGAAAGACAAAGCACAGTAAAGGCAATATTCAGATCCATGACATCAAAAGGGTAACTGACACATATGACTTTTACCTAGTGGAAGAACGCAAATTGTTGGAAGAACTCAGGGTTAAAGGTCTGTAGGTATAGGAAAAATAGAAAAATAACACATTTCCCAATATTTTACAATCCCTTTGGAGGACAACTTATCAAAATTACAAATGCACTTTCCCTTTGACCTAGCAATCCCGTCTGGACATTTTTACAACTCACAAAAGTGAGACTTGCACACAGGGTTGTTCCTTATAGACTATTGTAATTAATAGGAAGAGACTAGAACAACCTACATGACCATCTGCAGAGGATGAGTTCAATAAACAAGGGCACGTTCACAATGCACAGCATGGTTGCTGTCAAAAGAGAATGCATGTAAGATGCTACCTGTATGACATTCTAGAGGGCAAAGAGGACTTATTTGCATGTGTTTAAAAAAAAAAATGGAAGAATTCCCAAGACATTAGTAACAAGAATGAGGATGAGAATCAGGATGTATGGAGACAAGAGTGGAAGCAAGGATTTTCAGTAGATGTGTTTCTATGCTATTTGCATTGTCAGTGCTCTCTGGCGAAAGTCTAGGAACACACCTGCAGCTGAGCAAGTACAAGGAGCGAGAAGCTCACGGTGAGGAGCTGCAGGCATATTGGTGCCATATTGGTGACCTTGGTGGTGGTGGCTTAGTCGATAAGTAGTGTGTCTCTTGCAACCCCATGGACTGTAGCCCGCCAGGCCCCTCTCTCCATGCGACTTCCGGGCAGGAATACTAGAGTGGGTTGCCATTTCCTCCTCCAGGCGATCTTTCCAACATAGGGATCGAATTCGCATCTCCTGCATTGCAGGCAGATTCTTTACCAGTGAGTAGCCAGGGAAGCCCATCTTGACGAAGTTAGGACAAAAGGGTTTGGGCTTGTGTTGGGTAAGGCTAGGGAGAGTCATGGAAGGAGGCTCTGAGCTACGCTGGATGTTGTCTGGGAAAAGTTTCCTTTTATTGGATATTTCAGTGATCTAAAGAGGAAGGAGTGAAGTAAAGCTTGAGCTGGGATTGGTCAAGAGGCAACAGGCCCTCCTATCAGCCAAGATAGGAGGGTGTTTTGTCACTTTTGTGGTTTAGAGAAAGTTCTTACTTATATCTGGTTTCGACCTAATTATGAAATTGTCTTATTTTTGTCCTGATTGATCATGATTACAGCTAGCCTTGTTTGATGTTCGTGTCCTGCGAAATTATTTACATTCAACAGGCCTATCAGATAGTAGCAGGTCAAAAGCTGGAAGCAAACCAAAGGCCTATCAATTTATAAACGGATAAACAAACTATGGTTCATCCATAACAGACATAGCTCATCACTGGATGTGTTTCATCCAGGGAACTACTATTCAGCCTTGTAATTAAAAACTACAAGTTTAGCTTAACTAAAACTGTAAGTTTTAGTTTTATAGTTAAAACTTTAAAAGGTACTAAAAAGCTGGAGTATTTCAAACTGCTGCTGATTGTCAACTGAAAATTAGATAAAATTCTAAACTGTAATATTAAATAAAAACTTATAAGACAAAAAATCATGAGTTTTTTTAATGAATGTAGGAATTGTTTTGCTAAATTTTCCATTAATTTACAAGATATTCTCCAAGTGGCTCAGAGGTTAAAGTGTCTGACTGCAATGCAAGAGACCAGGGTTCGATCCCTGGGTCAGGAAGATCCCCTGGAGAGGGAAATGGCCACCCACTCCAGTATTCTTGCCTGGAGGATCCCATGGATGGAGGAGCCTGGTGGGCTACAGTCCACGGGGTCGCAAAGAGTTGGACAAGACTAAGCAACTTCACTTTCACTTTTTCTCAGTAAATATGAAAACAAAGGAGAGGTTTAAAAAAAAAACTTAAAAATTTTTTAAAAAATAAACACTGTTTCACCACAGTGCCACCTGAAATTTATCTCCACGATTTGTAAATGCTCAGAAGTCTATTTTCAATATGCTTTGTTGTTGTTTACTCGCTCAGTTGTGTCTGACTCTTTGCAACCTGTGGACTATAGCCAGCCAGGCTCCTCTGTCCATGGAATTCTCCAGGCAAGAATACTGGAGTGGGTTGCCATTTCCTGCTCCAGGCAATCTTCCCAACCCAGGGATACAGCCAGCATCTCCCATATTGGCAAGCGGATTCTTTAACACTGTGCCACCTGGGAAGCACTTTCAAGATGCTACTGAAAAGTATTCATCAGAAGAATCTTCTGTGTCAATGTTTATGTGCTTTTCTGGGGGATCAGAGTGGGCAGTGGTTCTAGCTGCCACAAACCAACAACCCAATTCAAAGGCCAAAGCAAATACCCCGAGAGTAAGAAGGCCCCACTGTGCTGAGTCAGAGGAGGAAGACATCAGTTTATCTGGTCCAAAAGCCCTCAGGGTGAAAACTGCCCTAGGTAAGCCTCCAATTATCCAGCCCTGATTTGACCTTCAGGTGGCAAGTAAGGCCTCAGGGAATAAAATAAACTCATTCATTGCAGTCATTGGGAGCTTTCTGAGTGCAGGATAGGTTCTCAAACACTGATATTAGTCTGAGTGAATGGCAATCCTCACTTAACCAGGCTTTCTTGGGAAACCTGAAACTCACCTACCCAATTAGAAAATCAGAAAAATGTCTCTATGTTCCCTGTTGAGAAAGGGGGCACCCCACCAATTCTGAAAAATACAATAATACAATACTATAAATGTAAGGTTATATGAGGAATTCAAGAGAAAAAGCATTTACACAACATTAATTAAAAATACATTAATTTAAAGTACATCACAAAGGAACTACAAAAACTCCCACGGGTGTTCAATAAATACTTTTTGAACACCTATGAACCAGTCCATCCTAAAGGAGATCAGTCCTGGGTGTTAACTGGAGGGACTGATGTTGAAGCTGCAACTCCAATACTTTGGCCACCTGATGCGAAGAGCTGACTCATTTGAAAAGACCCTGATGCTGGGAAAGATTGAGGGCAGGAGGAGAAGGGGACGACAGAGGATGAGATGGTTGGATGGCATCACCGACACAATGGACATGGGTTTGGGTGGACTCCGGGAGTTGGTGATGGACAGGGAGGCCTGGCGTGCTGCGGTTCATGGGTTCACAAAGAGTTGGACACGACTGAGGGAGCCCCCAGCTATCAACACTGGGAGACTCACTTCCTCTCCCCAGTCCACCACTCGCTCTTACTAGGTCACCAGCCCGCTCCACCTTGCTAAACCCTACGGTCCACCTTGATCAGGTCCAGCCCCTGACCCCTTTGATCACCTCTCGGGGAACCACTCGCTGCTCCCGGTTTTCCTCCTGCCTCGCTGGATCGCTCCACCCTCCCAGGGCTTCACGACTGCATCCCGCCTTGGATGTCCAACACAAGGCTCCCAGCTCACACAGTCAAGCCTCAACTCTTGAACATCCGCAAACCCCCCCGCAAAGCCTTAGGACGCCATCCTCCTTGGCCCCCACTTCTCCCTTCGGCTCACGTCTCACACCCACACAACACGATATACCCCAGCAACTGCAGCTTACAACTGTGTCCAGCCCGGCCGCGCCTCCCACGCCCACCACCCGGTCCAGGCCGTCCCATATGTCACCCGGCCTGCAGCAGGGCCCCGAGGGACTCTACTCAACGGGGACACCCTGCCCCGCGTCCCCCGGGCCACCGCCTCCTTCACGGCGGCCTACCAGGCCCACCCGCCCCGGGCGCCTGACTTTCCAACCGCGGTTCTGGTCCCCTCCCTCGCCTCTCCGGCCGCAGCTAGCGCCCCGCGCTGTGCCTGGAAGACCCCCGATCTCGGGCTTCCGCAGGTGTGTCTGCCGGGGGCGGGGGGTGGGGAGGGCTGCCACTCGGATCCACCAGAAGAAACGGGGTCCGCGCCCCCTTCCCCCCTCGCCCTCGCCGTTCCCCATCCCCTCTCCCCTCCCCCACTCCTCCTTTGCCGCCGGAACCGGCCGAGGCAATTGATCCGCGCATGCGCGCCGCAGTGGGCCGGCCCCCCGCGCTCGCCCCGGGAGCCCCCCCGAACGGCGCCCACCGGGGCCCTGTGCTCGATCGCGACCCACGGAGCGGGAGTCCAGGGGAGGCGGCGGAGAGCACGGCCAGGCCCCGGCGCCCACGCACCTGCAGGAGGCGGGGACCGCGGCGGATCCCCGGCGCGGGGGCGGGACAACCAGACTGGGGGCGGAGCTGCTCCAGCCACCGGCCCCGGGCTGCAGCGGCCCCTGCCGGAGGCTCACACCTGGTCCGGCTCCCGGGCCCTGGAGACCCTTCCCTGGGCCTGTTCTCGCACGATTGTTTCTTTGCATTGCTTTCTTTAGGGGGATGGCCCGGCGCGGGGCGGGCGGGCTGTTTCTTCGTCTTTGTGCCGTGAAAGACAGACGAACTGCTCTCTTCCTTGAGCCTGCGCTGGACCGCACTACTTGGCCACAGAGCATGTGAAATATTGGGGCGGCTTTCCCTGAAAAGCTATTTCCAATGAAGGTTAGCGGGGTTCCCAGGCCAGCCCACCAGTGACGAGCGCTGATGCTGAGATCCTTACCCAGCGTCGAAAGGGACCGGTTTCCAGGCCTCGCGTACTCTGTGATCTCTGTGGCTCCGCGTGTCGGATCGCCCTTAAAAGCAGTCATCTTTCTTTGTCTTTGATTCAGTCTTAACCACCAGAACTAATTTTCAGAGAATAGAATTGTTTCTGGACTGGCCAGTAATCCTAAAGGGAGGTGGTCTGAGAATTTGGGTGCATAGAATGTGATGTTAGCATTTGTTTTTCCGTCTCTGACCTCATCCACCCCCCTCAGTTTGGCTGGAAGTCCTCACCGCTTTGGAACCCCTCTTGCTCCCGCAGGTTGTATCAGTTTCCAGGGCCCCTGGAGTCCAAGAAAATTGGAGAAGGGTCTTATGTCTGACTGCTACTTTTTCTGTGACATGGCACTTTGTACCAGACACCTCTAAGATCTTCACATGTCTTAACCAGCTAAAATCTTCCCCACCCAATAAAAGATATCCAGTTATTCCGACTTTGCAGATAGGGAAACTGAGGCACAAGGCGGTCAAGTAACTACTCAAGATAGGCTGTTGAATAGCAGAGCTGGGGTTTAAGCCTAAATGCTTTGGCTCCAGCCACAGGGTCTGCACCACTGTATCTTAATGTACTGTGTCTCATTAACATGTTAAGCTGCTTTTTGTGGTTTTGATGTTAGTCATCAGGTGTCAATCTTTGTCTTCATTCAGACACTGCCGGGGGCGGGGGGGCACACTGTGGGGGAGACCCCGTGCCCCTCACTGCAAACTTCCATGGCACCAGCCACAGGGTGGATCCCTCCTGGGACATCACATTCTATCAAGGCCTAGGGGTCACCACCCACAGCTACCCACTACATATGCCTTAACCACATACCTTCTTCCAAGCTTAGGAAAGCTGACCCTTCTGCCAATATCAGGCTACTTTCTTTTCTTGAAACATCAACCACTATCCTTTCCATCCTTAGAGCAACTCAAGCTTAATTTCTTGATGGTCTTGTCCTTCCAAACCAAAGGCTGGTCCCTCTTTCTGGAATATTCATTTTTCGTTCCCTCAGTAGTAGTGCTGCAGGGAAAAGTTATTTCTTACTTCATGCTAAGACTGTTTCTTTGATTTGCTTTTTGTTACTTTTGTAATTGTAATTATACATAATGGCCTGCCTCAGAGAATCCTGCCTCTCTACCTGACTGTAAACTAAAGTGCCTTTGTTCAGAACCCTGTCCACCTGTAGACTGCAGGATGGAAGAAATCAATACGTCCCCTGCCTGAGGTTTGCCATTCTAGGAGATATTTGCTAGATTAATGGCCTTTCTACTTTGTTCATTCATCCCCCCTCCTCTCTGATCCATAAAAATATCTGGCATCCAGACCCCATAAAGATGACTATTTTGAAACATTAGTCTACCATCTTCTCGGTCAGCTGAATAAAGTTGTAATTCCTTGCCTTGACACCTCCTCTCCAATCCATTGGCCTTGGACTCAGTAACAGGAACTCCTTTCTCATCTTTCCAGCCTGAGTTCAGGCATCACTTCCTCAAGGAGCCTTCTCTGACCCCATCTCCCCCAGTCTCCGCTCTTAAAGCAGGCTCTTAAAGCACCATAGCAGTTATCCCAATGAAGACTTCAAATGTATCTCTGTTCATTTGATTAAATTTTATCTGCCCACCAGGCTGTGAGTTTCCCTGAAGATGACACTTTTGTCTCGATGTGCTCACAGTGATATTTCCAGTCCCTCACAGTGCCTTATAGGAGATGCTCAATTTATGAATTCATTTAATATGTATTAAATAAAAGAATAAGCAACCTCACAGGAAAAGCAGCCCAGAACTGAGAGGATAACAGCTTGGCTATCTTTACCAAAATGAAGAAAACAAATCAGTTTTCTTCCGTGCTGCTTATGGGTCCCTAGCAGGACAAAACAATTTAAAAAAATAAAGAAGCAAAAAAGTTTATTAATAACTCACCCTATCTACAGAGGGTCTCCTGGCATAACCAGGTAGGAGGTGTAAGAGTTAAGGAGCGCATATACTTGGAGTTGGTACTGCCTCCTTCCTTTAGTAAAATGCAGACAGGCCAAGCTTTACTTCTGGAAAGACAGTCTCCCCCAACCCTGACTTTTCCCATCCTCTTGGGGCCACTTGCTTTGCTGGCTGTCATGCTGCCCCCCAGGGGTGGACTGTCCTCTTTAAGCCTCTGATACAAATATAAACTTGGACATAAACCCCTAGGCTTGATGTCTTTCATTGATAGATTTTGACACACTAGGAGAAGTTTTAACTTTCTAAGGGAGAATAAGAAGAATATAAGAATCAAGATCACAAAACTGCAAGACGCACAACACAATCCAGAAATTGTGCAAAAGCCCAGCCCCACTCAGTTCTATTCTATTTTCCAGCTCCAACTTGTTTCCACGAGACCACCATGCCAAGGTAACATCATCACCACATGGCCATTCCCAACAACATGTTGGGTCCTTCTTGGAGGAAGGCAAGAGACCAAGCCCTCTGCACAGCCCCTCCAGTTCTTTGGGTTCCAGTATGAGTCCTGAGCAGGTAGCTAACACCAAGTGTGATCCTGCCCTAAGAGGGATCCATGCACACAGAACTGCTGCTTGTGGCTGTCACCCCCTGCAGCGGATCAGTGCGTCTGCACAGGATATGACTGCATCTATTACAGCGAGCAAGCACGCAGCTCAGGCTGAAGAAGTAACATTGACGGGAGGCGCTGAGCTGAGTGGTGGTGGACAGGAAATGGGGTTGCAGGTGTTTGCAGGCTCTGCGGTAAGGAATCCAAGGTAGTGAGACCAAGGCTGCATCAGACAGTCTGGAGCAATGAGGACAGTCTTTCAAGGCTGGATGGTGGGCTGTGGAGGAGCTCATACCTGTATTCTTAACACCTGAGAGTCTCGTCCTTTCTTTTCATGTTTAAAACATCCAACATATTGTTGATTTTTTGGTGGGTGCAATAACTTTTATCTTTCTAAAGAAATCGAATGAGTGACCACACTCATGAAAGAGAATTTCCCCATTGTGTCTTTTCCTTTCCACCTTTATCTTAAGATATAGCTCTCCTTTCATGCCTCCATCCATCCTCAATTAGATGTCTGAATTCTCCATACTTATGAGTGTTTACTGCCGAATGGAAGGCTGTTCACACTTGTTGAATAGGGGGAGGAAAGAGTTGAGTGGAGAAGGTCTGTGCTTGAGGACATCTCTCTTCTGAGACCCCTCCACATTGCTACTTGGCCTTCTGATTCGTTCTTTGTATCACTTCTTCGGTTTTCAAAGTCGTGTAGATGCCTCTGCCTGCCACGCCTCCGTCCTGTGGTTGTCCTTTGACAGTGGGTACCATCTTTTTCAAGTGTTGTCTTAAACTGGCCTCTTTTGGTCTAGAGATGCTTCACATTCCAGTACAGGAAATTCTCCAAATTTACTTCACAAGTATTTACTACACATCAAAACACTAAGATGCTTGACAAGTTCTTCACTTGTCTACCCATCTCTTCTTCCACATGCTCCACTACAGTTTCTAGACAAACCTTTGTATGCTCCAAACCTGTTAGCATTTTCTGCTCTGACATGTTTAAGAATAAAAGCTTTGCATTCTACCTAAAAAACCAAAGGCAATGAGGAGACCCCAGATTGTGTGGCACAGCAAAAAGACTTTGGGTCACACCAGATTGTTACAGAAAAGCCACGGGGAAATAAGTAGAAGCAAAGTTTACAAGTGTCCATTACTTTAATGTAATTTCCCTTTGGCAAAAACTTTGTGGTGGAAAAGGGCTAGCTATCTTCTTTTGTTTAAATGTCACAGAATACCAAGACGGCCCCAAGTGGTTCATTTCCTTTTTGGCAACTGGCTTTCATGCTTCGCTTATGCTATTCATATATTATCGCGAGAGGGATTTTTATAGTGTTTTATATGTCCTGGGTGCTCTCCAATCGTTAATAAGTTATTCCTTCCTGAATCTTCAGGTCAATGTTAACATCTTCCTTTTTAAGAGCTGGATGTACATCTCTACATCTCTACCTGGATGCAGAGGTTAAGTGCCTGGCCCAAGGTCCGGGGGTGAGGCACTATCAAACCTGGGACTGTGTAATTTAATAGAAAAAGAATCCAACACTGTATCATTCACCAGAAGAAGGCTACACTTAACCCAGTCCACTTTAACAGTCAAAGGAGAGATGAATTAAGTGCTGAGATGGTTTGTTTCAAAGCTTGCTTAGGGGAGTACCAGCCAGGGAAGGGTCAGTTACTTTGCTATGATAGGACTTCTAAATAAATCCAGTTCAGCGCCTTGACCGCAGACACTAGAACAGTCACTTGTGATGTCTCTCCCTATGTTTTTATATATTCACAGTCGTGTTCTAAAATGACCTTCTGAGGGATTGATGGAAGAGGTGATTTAGATCCAAGGTCACTAAAATTGACAATAAAAGAAGGAATTTTAGCTTTATGTAGTAGTCATTTCTTAAAAGCTATGGGTAGCTGATATTCTATTTATTTTTTCTTACTAGTAGGGTCAATTTAAAATATATTTGGCAAGAATACTGTACTTTTTTGTAGGACTTTTCAGCAAGGGAAGGTTAAAAGCACTAAAAAGAATCCTCAGGCGTCGCCAGGCAAAATCGATAGTTGCTTCTTCTGGGTTTCAGCATCAGAGATTGCCTGTCTTCCAATTTCCCTTCTTACATTCCTCTGAGAGGCCAAAGGAAAGCTCTAGAAGTGAATTCAAACTCGGTTTCCTTGACTTTCCAGAGATTCCTATAATTGAGCAATTGTGATTTAGTGAGAGAATCTAAGAAAATGGATTCATTCTTCAGTCTCAGTAGAAAAAGCTTCTGCCTAAACTAACTTCTTTGTTCACTCTTGCCTTCTGTCCTCGCAGGTACCTATGGATTTTCTCAGCTCTTCACTGTGAGTTATTTGTGAAGCAACATGAAGCAGTTTTTCTAGAGAAAGCAAGTATACAGCTATTTGATCCAGAGCAGGTGGAAACGGAGCCTGATGAGTGAATCACGGGGACCAGGAGGCTGGAAGAGGGAGATCAGGCAGACTCAGGTCACACGTCCCCCTATGGCCCAGAGAGGCGGATCAGCCCGTCTGAGT